AGACTGGTTACGTCCTCGCGAAGGTCGCAGAGGTGGAAGAGGCTCGGTGCTGCCATTGTGAGAAAACGGGATCCGCGCTGGGGGAGGGGCTGGGGATGAATAGTGAGAAGATACTGGGCCTGGTGCTGGTCCCGGAGGTCCGGGAGGAGCATTTGAAGGTCCGGGAGGCGGTGGTCCCGGGGGAGGAGGTTGCGACCAGTAAGCACGAGAATAGCTCGGCTCGGGAGCACCGTAAATACTCATACGGCGCGGAGAGTACCCGGGATCGATAGGACGGCCGGCGGCCATGTGAGCATCACGGGGATCTGTGTTCGAGTAGCTGCTATGTGACAGGTATGCACCCTGATCCTGAACTGGAGGGCCCTGAGGTGGGGGGGGGGAGCGTATTCCGGGTGTCGCACCGGCGGATGCTGTGAAACATTGTGTTCCTGGATAGGTGGATAGGCCATGGGTTCTCCAGGATGACCATGTGCTGGGCCGCTTGGTTGCATTGACATCTGCGCGCGGGGCTGGTGCATGTATCCTTGGGGAACCTCGACAGGGCTGGGATTGTATCGAGGGTCAATAGGAGCCTGGCTTGGGGTGACAGGCGGGAGCTCGTTCGTCTGGGAGACTGAGCTTCGGGGGTCGTGTTCAAGCATTCCGTGAGAAGAAATGGGGGCGGGTCCCATGCCGTTTGACATGGCATCACGGTAGGATGGTTGTTCCTGAGCACCGTATGGCTCAAGCATAGGAGACGCTTCGGGAACGGATGCTGGCTCAAAGCTCATAGTAAGCCCAGATGCCGGAGCAGTGTCGTAGACTGGTTCGGCCTCTTGGATAGGAGCGGATTCGTTGGAAGTGCTTACAACATTGCTCAGGGCAGCCAAAACATCGAGGCCAACGCTGGAACTGGTGTCGGGCGTAGGAGCAGGAGCGGGTTTTGAGTCAGTGAAGACATCACGAATAGCGTCGTAGCGAGCTGGCTTAGGCGCAGGCTTGGGGGCCTTGTTCGACTCTTCAGTCTCAAGAAAAGCACCAGCATAGGCAAGAACGGCGAGGTCGGTGAACCCAGTTTCGGGTTGAGGGGCTTCAGCGTCCTCTCCTTCGGGCTCTTGTTCCTCAATTTCTGGCTCTTGCGACTCAGAGGCGACTCGGCTGACAACAGGTCTAACTTCAAGCTCTCTGGCGGCAGTGCCCAAAGATCTGCTTCGCAAAACCTCATCAGAACGAACGTATTCAGATATAGAGATTTCTTCAGGGTCGACCTCTTCAAGCTTGCAAAATCGTCTCATCGAAGCCCCAATCTTGGCGCGATATGGGTTATCATCCGAGCGACGGTGATTGGTAGTCTTGAGGAAGGAACGCGAGGCATGAGCAATCCGGCCCGAAGGGTTGGCGATATAGACAACAGGCTTGCCTGGCATGACGTGTGGAGTCTTTTCGACCTCGGGAACAGGTGCATCTTTCAGGATAATACCATACTTAGGGTGCACACCAAAGCGCTTGACCACGTCTTGGTCAAAATCTTCAGGGGTTGTGGCTGAGAAGTCGTAGCCATTGCACCAATGGTCGACGTGAAGGCCATTGCTGTTAGGAGTGTTGAGGTACTTGCCACGCTTTGCATGTGTATGGCCCTTGCTGGAGTCATTCGTGGAGTCCCTGAAGCCTATTTCCCAGTCATTGAACTCAAAAGTACGAGGGCAGAAAAGCCGACTGTTAATGCCCTTTTCTCGCATAGATGGCTTCTGGTTATATACGCGGAAGCCCCATGGGTCTTCCTCACCCATATTCTTTGGCAACGGGGGGCTCCTTTCACGAGCAGGCAATTTACTTTGAGCCCGAGCAACAGCCGCAGGCGTGATGCCATTGACAAGAGCGGGAGGCTCGGGAGTCCCTGGCGCTGATTCTGACTCAGCTGGTGTGCCCTCAGGTGTCGCCTCGGCTTCAGCAGCGGAAGCAAGAAGACCCTTGGCAGGAGCGGGAGCAGCAATAGATGGGCCATCGTCAGCGTTGCTTCTGGTGTTCTTCTTGGGAGTAGGTTGACCGTCTGGTTGGTCTTGGGCTCTGCGCTTGTTGGCACCACGGCCACGTCCACGACCCTTGGAAGAAGCGCTGGCAGCGGTTGTAACTGCAGCTGTAGCAGCCGCTTCGTTCTCACGTCCCTTTTGCCACATGGGAGTGCCTTGGACACGAGAAGGATAAGGGACGAGATGGCCATCTTGGTAGCACTCGTAGATTCCAAATTCTTCGTCATAATGCTCATCGCTGATAACCTTGTACTCATACTGATCATCGGCAATCTGTGTTGTGCGTGTCAGCTGTCGCGCCCCCAATTACCGCAATAGGTAGATAATCAATTAAAGTTGGGGAAGGCCAAGTGGTGAAATAAGGTAAAGTAGGGACAGAAAAGTTGAAGAAAACTCTGACTTACATCGACGGGAAGGTTCTTGTCATACAAGGAATTGAGGATTCGAGCACGGTTCTCTTGTGATTCGTAGAACTGTTCTTCGATCTCATCAAGACCGTTCTGTGAGGGTGGTTGTGTCAGTAAATTGCCAAGAGCCTCATAGAAATATCGGGTACGGGACTGGGTCACGTCAGAGGAGAGCGACATACCTTGAATTCTTGTTCAGCGACGTAATTGTCGGCTTCATGCAAATGCTGAGCGAGTTGAAGGTCTCTGTCCAAACGACGCTTGTGCTCAGCGAGTTTGGCATCGAGGTTTGCTTGGAGCTCCTCCATGGCAGGTATGAATTCCTGGACAAGTTTATACTTGTCTGGATTTTGAAGAGCATCATCAATGGTGCGTTCAGCCAGCTCTTGCAGGGCGGGCTTCAGCGCGTAAGCAACAGCTTGATAATTTGCTTTGAGATGCCGTTGACGCTCATAAGCAGCCTGTACGCGCGAATCGGCAAAGTTCTTTGCTCGGCCTCGTCGTGAGCCACCACGGCCAGCCTTTGCAGTAGCCGCCTTGGATAAAGCGGCTGTAGAGCCACCTCTGCCACCACCTCTACCTCGTCCACCACGACCTCTTCCACCGCGGCCACGACCACGAGTGGAAGGTTCCCTTGCGGGAGAATCGTTCTCAGGCATGATGAGTATGATGGGTCATGTAGCTAGAAGTGAGGAGAAAAGGCAAATGGTGGTGTTGGTAGGTGATGTGAGGTGAGGTAGAGCAAAGCAGAGCAAAGTGAAGTAAAGCAAAGTAGCGGGCCGGGTACCAGCTTTTTCTGGAGGTTAAAGGTGAGAATGTGCCACGCGCCAGTGACAGGGGGAGTGAAGTACCTGGGTAGTCCTTGAGCAAGGTAATGAAAGAGAGCGCAGAGGCCGTACGTGACTTTTGGCGCGATGAAAGAGCTTGTTCGTAGCAGAAACGCGGAGAACAAAGAGAGACAAGTAACCGCGTGCGTTGGAGGGGAAAGGATATGAAAAACAAGGCGCGCTGTTGTAGAGGAGAAGGAAGATGATTACGGGTGCAGGGTGAAAGTGAAGTGAAGTGACAGTGGAGGAATCTGAATCTGAATCTGAGAGACCGGGTCTGTAGGTGTGAGGTACGTATAGATCAGAAGTTTTTGCCTGCTGGCAGTGACCGCAAGTGCCATGCAACTGCACCAGCAATACAGCAGCTGAAGCAAAATTGACTAATCTTTGAGATTGGCCAGCTTGATATCACGTAGAGTATGACGAGTAGCAGCGATCAGCTGGCGTGCCAAGTGGTTGAAGTCGTGAATATGAAGGAGGTTCTAATGTAATGAATGAGACGGAGAAGCACTTCGAGTCCCTTTTTTTCCCAATAATACCGGTCTCCAGCAGCATGACCCAAACGGGTGAATCCAATGCGCCAAACAAGCCAATAAAAGCGGGGGTAAATCAGTCTGCCACTGTAAGTGCGCTGCAGGCCGCTGTAGAGTCTGCTAAATGCCCTCAGAAATTATACACCCCTGATCATCGGAAATCCACCAGCCACGCCCATCAATATCCCTCTAAGCCGTTTTGGGCACTTTCAGGACACTTTTGAGTCAACTGATTGGTCCGGTACCCTTGATTTTCCGTTCACCGCGGCTCCGTGACCCCTGTCAATGCTTTGGCATTCTGCAAGGAGCACTCCGGATTCTCTCGATATGAGGCTTGACTCTGAGGTACCGCAGAGTTGGGTTTGTTTCCATTGTGAATAAGCACCTCAATACCCGCATTGCATAGGTAGGTAACCTAATCTAGGTACAATGCAGGCGAATATTCACTGATACTTTTGTTATGCGGGTTAACCAAATGTATTTTTTGTTCAATGCGACGCAAGCAGTTGACAATGAATAACAGTGGATGATCAGGATATCATGGATGTTCACAGTTCAACATGGAGATAATCGGCTGATGTTCAATAATTCGGACCCCCCTGGCCTATTATTCTTTTACTCGCACGAGATCGGGTTACTGAATCTTTTCGGAAGCGCGGGAACAATGGCAAGAGTTGCACTTGATACAGGGAAAATTGCTGCACTAACCACTCTCCGTCCGTACGTTTGTAACAGCTGTTCATCCTGTCACTTTGCTGTGGAGCCTCACATTTCCTGTCGACGGGAGACGGGGCATGCATGGGCATGCATGGGCATACGCCACCAGTCGTGACACCGTCTTCGGAGGTTCGGATAACCCACGGTGTGGCTATTGTTACTGTGTATACCATTGTACGTTGTTCATGTACGATTTCTATTGTCTTGACGTGATGCAGCTGCTTGTCACTATCAATCCCATATTCATCGCTTGTGGTACTGTCAGCTTGGTGTTATTGGCCTCTGGCTTCAGCTCACCTCAGACGCCACGATTAATGTGGCGAGCCTTATATCTGATCAAATGTGGTTAATTCTGTGAAAGTTTTGAGCTTTGTAGTATTCAAATGCTCGCCGTTCTCAAGTACCAGACAGTTGTAAGTTTCTTCAAAGTTGGTTCTACGAATTCAAAATGCTGGAATAACCATTAAAGGATATTCGAATAGCATGACCATTAGAACCAAGAGTCCTGTTGCACACACAGAATCCATAGAGATAACGTAAGTAAAGCCTTTCACCCAGAATTGATATATTCCGCGTATTCCTGTGCTGTACTGATACTTTCATCCACAACCTCATTCTCATCGTCTTATCATCTCTCACCCTAGACACTCATAATAAACTCATATTCAGCCCCGCATTTTACAGACTCGCCTTGCGCTGGAGTCAGCCCAACCCATGGAAAGCTCCCGGGAACTAAACAAACGGTGCCGCTGCATTGTCAGCCAATCACATCACCCCACACACGGATCCGGTACGTACCCGCAAGACGAAAAAAAAGTAAGTTACTTAAGGTAGATCGGCTTCAACCACGTGCATTCAACGGTGACGTGACGCCGCGATAGTCTCAACCTCCAAATCACCATGGGCAAGAAACGGAAGCTGTCGCATCAGAATGCGCCGAATGCGCGTCAAAAGAAACTTCCCCAACAGAACAAATCCGACCAGAAAAAACCGTCCAATGGCCCCGCGAAGAAGGGCAAAGGCAAGCAACAGCGCCAGAGTGATGATACTCCAACGATACCCTTCGAACCTCACCACCGTATACTGCTTGTGGGCGAAGGTGATTTGAGTTTTTCAGCATCTATAATTCAGCATCATGGCTGCGCAAATGTTACTGCTACGGTTCTGGAGAAGGATGCCGAGGAATTACTGTCCAAGTACCCCCACGTTGAGGACAACATCGCCGTGATTCGCGGCGATGGTCCCAAGACCAACGAGGCCGACAAGGAAGACAAAGAGACATCTACGAAAGTAGCAGAAGCAGGCGAAACTAGCCAAGGTAACCAGAACGAAAGCGAGGAAACCAATGGCGAAAGCGACAGCGAGGAAGACGACTACTACGACTCAGACGACCCCAACGCACCACCAAGACCTAAGCGAAAACTCACTCCCAACAACAAACTCCTCTACAACATCGACGCTACTAAGCTTCCAAATTCACTCATACGCTCTCGATTCGACCGCATCATCTTCAATTTCCCTCACGTCGGCGGAAAGTCCACTGATGTAAATCGCCAAGTTCGCCATAACCAATCCCTCCTCGTTTCCTTCTTCGAGCGCGCCATTCCGGCGCTTGCCCCCAACGCTGCTATCGTCATCACACTATTCGAGGGGGAGCCATACACTCTCTGGAATGTTCGAGATCTGGCTCGTCATGCTGGTCTGCAAGTTGAGCGCAGCTTTCGCTTCCAGGCCCGCGCATACCCCGGGTATAAGCATGCGCGAACGCTAGGTGTCGTGAGGAACTCGAAGGGTGAAGTGAGCGAGAGTGGATGGAGGGGCGAGGAGAGGGCATCGAGGAGCTTTGTGTTCAAAAGAAAGGAAGATATTGCTCCGGTGGTCGGAAAGAAGAGGCGAAAGGGCGATGATTCCTCTGATGATGAAGATTGAGATGGTATAACACGGATAGAAACAGCATAATTGGCGTCTGGTGTTCTATGTCAGCAAATTTAGAAATGCTGAGAAACATGATTGAGTTCCGACAACGTGGGATTTCATTTAAGTCGGCATATTGCCAGGGGTATCTCAACTCCAAGCTTTCCGTGTTTATTTCCCAAGCGGATGTTCCTGTACTAGATGACTGACTTGATTTCCTGCGCCTGAACGCCAATAATCGACCCATCATGAAGCACGACTCTCAGAAACACCAGAACGGTATGATATTAATATCAGGGATCAAGACAACCCCCAACGCCAAGAAATGTCTCTGCTACTCAGATGTTCGAGTAGCAAGCCCCAATAAAATATGCGGCCAACGTTGCCTCCCCGGACTACCCGTTCAACACAGGGTCCAAAATATACAGGCAGTTTGCCGTTTATATAGTGATGGTACAGTGCGCCTGGTATTGGCCCTTTTAACTCCCGAAATGCAAGTGTGATTATGTCCCAACCAAGCTCCATTAGTGCTCCTATCCGTAGACTGCAGTGCTGGGGGCTCAGCAGCTCCTGTTTTGTAACCCTTTGCTCGCGCTTTAAGCTGACGTCTTCTGTGACCCAAGCCCTCGAGCCTCGTGATTCAGGCGAGACAACTCGTTGGAAGTATCCAGTAAATCCTTTTCAGCGCCTCTAGTGGCGTCCTCCAGATCCTTTGTGTGATTCGCCTCGTCTTCAAGCCTTTGAGCCTCCTCGTTCTCCCTCATTAATGCTTCCTCCTGCTCACGAAGAGCCTGCTGTTCAGCACTAACAACACCTTCCATGGCTGATTGTGGAGGAGGCGGTGGAGGAGGAGGAGGGCTAGACGCATCCAACTCATCCTCTCTTAACCTCTTCATGTTTGGCCCATCAGATGGAGATATCGATAGCGGACCTTCTACTTCTGCCTCCCTCTTCCTCTTACGCTCAGGGCTTCCCAGAGAACCACTGCCCTCATTATCCGATGCCACGGCAGCGTCAAGCCCATCAGCTGGAGTCCCATTAACCTTGACTAAGGGTGTGGCCTCAAGCCCACCAGCGATAGAGCCAGCACTGCTCCCTGCAGCACTGGGGCCTTGGTCATCCTTCATCTGGGTATCTGCGTTTTCGCCCGCCCTTGGTTTCTGCTGATCACCGAATTTCTCAACAGCACGGTCCAAGAAGTCCTTAACATACTTCTTCATTTTCCTCGCTTGCTTTTCACTCAGTGGTGCATTGGGGTCGCCGACCCTGTTGTTTTTATAGTCAGACGAGACAAGCTTCTTAGCTATCTCTTTACCAAAGCGCTTCAGCTCCTCCTTAGGAAGTTTGTGATGAAATTTGTCGAGGACATGTTTGATGTGGGGAAATACCTAGTCACCTGTTAGTAAAGTCCTATGTAGAATTTGAATGCGGTTGTCCAACCGTGTTTTCGTATATCTTCATTTGTTTTTCGACCGGAAGAGATCGCCATTTCTCCTCCTTCACCTCCTTGGGTGGCGTTTCTGCCGCCTTGGGGGTCGAAACCGAAGTCTGTTTTGGTGTTCCTCTTTCAGTGACCTGATTGATAATGCTTTGGATCGCCAATTGCTCCTTCATAGCTTTGGACGGTGCCTTGACAGCAGATTCCGCTACAGGTTGGGTAGGTCGCTGCCAAGTTGTGGTGCCTTGCTTGTTATAGAAGTAAGTGTTTCCTGCAGCATCCTTGGCGGTGAACCATCCTTGAGGAAGTCCACCATTGAATGGGGGCCTGCGAGGGCGTCCGCCATTCTGGAAAAACGCAACATTCCTTTGCGGCATGCTGTTTCGAGGGCCTTTCGGTGCGTCAATGGTTTGTGGCGATGCTGTCTTGGAAGATTGCGCTGCCTCCTCTTCTCGACCTGCACCGCGTCGTTCCTCAAATGAGTTTGCAGCTGGTGCATTGGGGTCGAACTTGCGTCGTCGAATTCGGTACGCCACCTCCAACTTACTCCACTCGTCGAGAAGGTATTTTGACTTCGAAGCCACGTCTTCGTGCTCGGATCGTGTCAAACCCTCGATCGTGGCCTCGATCTTGGAGTCCTGGATCTTGTTCCTTGTCAAGCGTGGGAACTTATCAAGGATGTCCAAAACCTGAAGGACAACGTTGTGGTCCTCGATAAAGGTGTTGAGTGTTGTTTTGAGAATTTGGTAAGCGTGCATACGCATAACACAGTGGATGACGCGCTCCTCGTCGCACCGCAGGATACGGTCCAGTAGTTTCACCGCAATCCATTTCTCTTTGCATTGCATAAGAGCAGCCATGACCTTTCGCGCGTCGTCTTCGTTGAGACTGCGCGAAGGTATACTGTTGACATATTCCTCATCATCCTCATCAGGCTTCTTTTTCCGAGGCTTCTTTGCCACAGAAGTATCCCAACCGTCACCTCCATCGATACCTAAAGCCTCGACAGTCGCGACAGGCAATTTGGTAGCTCGCTCAGTTTGTGTTTTGCCTCCAATGAATCCCACACAATTGGCTTCCCCGCAGTAGCAGGGTTGGGGGTCGGCACCATATCGGTCAACATTGTAGTTAAACACCAACTCTTCTCCGGATTGGATCTTGCGCGAGGCAAAAATGCCCATTCGGAGTTTGTCGCCAACCACCCACTTATCAACATAGCAGTTGGGGTTGCAAGAGTGATTGCAGAAGCGGCCATAGTTGCCCTTTTTCGTTGCGTCCACAAACTCGCTCTTGTTTAGCGACATGAAGTAAAAATGCTTAATACCCTCTTCATCGTACTGGATCATTCTACGACGAAAGGTAGGCTCATTGATAACTTCGCCAATGTACTCAAAAACGAAGTCGTTGGGTTGTAGATCCGAGTCGGCGCGGAGGCCAAAACCCTTCTTTTCGGTCTTGATGACAGAAACGTTGGCGTAGTGCTTGCGCTGGAACCGCTGATTCTGGCAGCCCCCTGCGCAATTTCCAGCCTCAGCGCTACATTCCATTTTTGTCGCTCGATTGATGCAGTCCGAGTCCTCGCCACACGCAATGTTTTCGCCATTGTCTGTAGAGAAAGTTAGCATAGCACCAGACCACAAGGGCTCAGCGTGGGCAACGTACGCCATTCTTCCCGACACTCGCAGTCCAAGGCGTCGTTATCTGTAGATCCAAGGTGCTTTGAGCCGTAAAGGCAATCGGGAATGAGTTGAAAGAAATTACAAGATTCGGCGGTCATATCGGGGAGGTGGTCGAAAAGGACGGGTTCACGGCTGGCTGCCAACTTCTGAGAAGCCTTTCGAGAGAGCTTCGAGGGTCTGTTTGAGCTCGGTGTGTCTGCGCTTCCACTTCGCGACTTGACGCCATCATGAGAAGCGCTCGGCGATCGGGATTCTTCCTGGCCGCCATTCGTGACAGACATGGGAGTACTCTCCTCCTGCTTCACCTGCGTGCCGTTTGCGCCCTCCTCAAGCTTAATTTCCTCCATTTTGCTGGTCGTATACTCGTCATCCTCCATTAGTACATCAGGAGCAGGAGCACAAAGGCCAAGTTTGGAGCGTGGTTTCGGGATTTATCGAAGGTACTGGGCTGTCGCGAAGGAGGAGGACGTGTCGAGAGGTCAATGCGAACGCGAAGAATGACTCGTCCCAAGACAGCAAAAAGGGTGGAGTGTGAACGCGGAGTTGGTGGAGCGGGTATATCCCAGGCGCATCTACTGCAAGGCAAGGGACCTACCTTACGGGGGATGAAGCAGAAAGTTAGAGGCGAGGCAAGGCGACAAGAGGCCCGAGAGAGGTGACTTGATGTAGGCCAAATCCGGGGTTAACTTAAGCGGTCACGGGAAAAAGCGACGGGGCGAGACAAAGAAGCCAGGGCACATTGAGACCGTGCATCGACGATTACAAAAGACGACGGGAGGGTCAAAGCCAATTCGAGTCGAGAACACTCATTCCGACCCAGGACAAACCCAAGGCAAAGCAAATAGCAAGCAGCATCTTTTGTCGGAATTTTATGGCCCCGAGTGTCCGACGCAAAAGGCCCGAACGAGGCAACTACGCGCGCCATACTTGCTATTCCTCCAGTTGGGTGCAGCTCAGTAGTAAGCCACTGCAAACAACCTTTACCTTACTACTATCCATACAACCATGCGACCAAGGCAGTGTTTATATCATTTCATATCAATTCACACCGATTGTCGAGGCTTCAAATCTCTGAGCGTCCTCAACGTGGACGATGTATCCAAAATGCGCCTCAGTAGCTCTTGGTAGTTCCAACCCAGTGCCTCTGCAGCCAACAAGGTGAGACTTGCTTGATCCTCGCGCCCAGGCCGACCAGGACCCGTCATGTTCTGCAAACAAAAGTCATTAGCCACGCTTTGAGCGCTTCGGGAAGAGACGGACAAACCGGTTTCATGTTCACATCAAACAAAGCAAACTTGGAGTCGGCCGAGTCCTTGAATCTGCGGACATCAATTCGAATCGGCGCTGTCACTGCCAACTCTTGTGCCACCCTTTCGCATTCCTCTGCTACCTGTTTGTATGTTGCCTGGCTCCCCTCCGCGGCGGTTATCGCCCTTGAGTTTCCTATGACTGCCACAGCACCATTGTAGGGAGCAACGCCATCGATGTGGTTGAAACGCGTTACAACAGGCAATGCCCAGTATCCCCCTTCTCTAGAGATAGGTGGCATAACCGTAACAGTCGCTTCTTCGCCGGCAAGATATTCTTCCAACATGATAGACGGCGACTCTTTAAATAACGCCTGTCCATGCTCGATGAGTTCCTTCAAGCTGCGACAGACACGGACGCCATGGCTGCCACGGCCACGTATAGGCTTTGCGACAATCGGGAAAGGGAGGTTAAGCTTCTCGAGAATCCCTTGAATGTCTTGGCTCTCATGTATGGTCCATGATCGTGGCATAGTAAACCCGCCAAGTTTCCGCAGTAAATTGTTAACAAATTCTTTGTCGTCGTATCTTTCAACAATCAACGGGCCTTGCCCCACAACCCTAATACGGTCTTGATACTCATCAAGACGAGCCGATACTTGGAGAGGATGCGACGAGAAGAGGATCGTGTTAGCCCATATGTGACTTGCGCCCTTCTTGACAGCCTCTAGAATACCATCCTCGGTATCGGGAAATGACCATCCAGCTTGTTCATCCGGGTCGGTATTATTATGAGGGCAAATAACATCGACGTTCGGTGATAGGCTCAAGTTATAGGCGATATCGGCGCCGGAGTCCATGTAACCTGAAAACACAGTTGAGCAAACACAGTGAATTGAGCAAAGAAACGGGAAATTCACGAACCTCCGGGCTTCTTTGGTTTCTGAATACCATCAATAATTGGAGGGTCAAGACTTTGGTAAAGCACAGCTACGCGAGGTCTTGATGCTGAGGACATTGAAGCTTTCAGGTTAATCAAGGACGGGCGATGACGAAATTGCCGGCCGGCTCCTGTTGTAAGAGATTGTATCACGTGCATGGAACTCGAGGCAATACGTTGTATGATTGAATTGGAGTATGATATCGATGGATTAGAACATGAGATTTGAGAGAAGGAGAGGAAATTATATGGAGGCTTCGATCTCGGATCTGCTCGTCGGAACCATCCGGTGGGCTGTTCCATGGGCGTGGATGGAGTAGTCCGTGATCTTTCATTCAGGCGTTGTCAACGCCAATTGACAAGATCAATTAACGTCACGAGCTGATTAATCATTGCCTTGATGTATTTTACACCTTATGATGCAATTGATCGATAGGTATTGTAGCCTGAACAACAATCATGGCTCTCCTTCTTAGCTATTTCGAACAGGGCCCAGTCAGACGTTGCCAGCTCATTGTGCATTAATGCCTGTCTAGAAGATCAACGCCGTGGCTGGACCTGATTATAAAAGGGAGATGTGCTCTCTTGTCTATCGCGGTTGATTAATGCCCTGTTTATCCTTTTTATGCAATGATGAACTGTCACTTGAAAGGTGAAGTGATGCAGTTTTTGGACTTACATGAGACTGATGAGAATCTACGTACCGGCTGACGAACAGTTGGCCAGTGCTACGTTGCCGAAATACGACGAGTCGACCACCAAATCAATGACCAGTCATTCTTCTCTTCAGCAGCAACAAAGAGAGAACAAACTCATGAAAACAATGGCCTGAAACCACGGACCCGTCGCCAACTGGCCAATAGGCCTCAACCCATCTCTTCAGGTTCCAGAGAGTTGCACCAACAGCCCCTTGCCCAACCCTGACGGTAAATAGCTTGGCAACTCTTGTTTAATAGTCGCTGACTTTGCCTTGCACAGAATACTACAGTACATTACACTCTAAAACCAGGCTGAGCTCATCGTTGGTTGGTGGCCACATCCATCATGGGCATGGATGGAACAAGGACAAATACGGTAGCAGCCGCATACGCGAGAAGCCAATGGAATATTGCCAAATCCATGTTGGTGTGTATCGATGGGCTGAGCCTGTGAGCACAGGACATGGGATATGTGTCTACCGTCTACAGAGGCCGCTTCGATAAGCCCCCTACTCCGAGTCAGGCGCCTCCAGGTTCAAGCGGGATTGGTCCTTTGAATTCTCTTTAGACCCGTCCTGATGCACCTATTTTTTGTCCGATGAGTGAGTGCTGCAATGGTGCATCATGGCAGGGTCACAGTCATTAAAGAAACAGGGACTATGGACAAATTGGAGCTCTTCAAGTGAGACATTTAGAGGCCTCGCGACGCAATTACTCAAATCAATGAGCCTTTTGGTTGTCAGCTTGATTTGCCATCCAAGATTGGTGGTAGTCATACTCATAATCATATCAGATCAGCGCCTCACTCGCAAACATGGATAGGAGGATTTCCAGATCCAGGAATCGGCTTAAGCTGTACCACGCAACACACGCACATGTACATGCACTGCGCATGCACAATCTCATTACATTACATTGCATTGCATCTCATCTCACCAGGGGATGATGAGATGAAGGTGCTGGATCGCATTGGATCTTGTGCATCGTTCTCTCGGCCACTCCCGCGCTATCTATCATGTGCAGCAGTTTACAAACGGGCTGAGGCGGTACTTGAATATTGGGTGAACCGATTAATCTATTTGGTGGCTTCGAACCGAATTAGGTAGTCGTTGTCTCTGTGCACCCTCTGTCTGCCTTATAGGAGGCATCCAGGGTCTGACTGACACTGACACTGACTCTGCCATTATCTATCTCTCACCTGTTGCACCAACAGTCACCAAATCCTACCTATATTCACCACTACGGCTTTTGTTAGATCAACATCGCCAGCGTGATCTGGTATCCACCCCAACAAGCATCTCTTGACAAGAGAATCTCCCCAGGATTCACCTTTATTACTTCACAATTTAGCAAAACCAAGTCCCGCTCCGCTTCAGGACAGACTTGAGACCTTAGATTCGGTCGAAATCGAACTGCACAAGGTAATCTCACTACACCAGGCAACATACTCACAAAACCTGTAACTTTACCCAGGAATTATCAAGGCCTCTCTTCGCTTTTCTTACAGGTTCCAGCAAAGAGAGATTCTCAGTCCAGATCTTGTGTTCCCGCGTCTGGCTAGGAGTAGCAATCCTCGCTTCTTCATCCATCCGCTATCACATGTACCGCAGCATCTTGAGTCAGTCGCTTCCTTTCGTCGTACCCGACGTCTCCAAGCCAGTTGGCTGGGACCATCGATAGGCTATATCGTGGCCCTTTAAATGTAATATTTCACAAGATTCCACAGACTCTTCGATCCTCTCGCGCCTTGTCATCAACCTCCAATGAGTCTATCGACGGAAACGCCCGGAGACGACCTTTGCTTTGTAAAGACAGTTTCGAAGAACGAGGATCCAGTCCTCGATGGACTTTCACTTCTTCTCGTGGTTGAGACTCTATGAGAATTCATATCGACATCTACTTTTTGGCCTATTTCAAACCACATCCTCACTAGTTCCAAAAAGATCTCAGTATGGAGCCATTTAATGAACAGGAGAAGGTAAATTTCGACAAACCGTCCTCCTGATGTTCTTCAACTGACCAAGCTCCAGCGGCATCTCCTCGCCGAAATAATCAAACACAGTCAATTAGATGTCAAATACTTGGAGCCTGTAGTTCGTCATATCGAGCCAAATTGGATGCAAATGCAACTCCCGAATGGTAAGTAGAATGGCCACTACCGCTGATCCCACACACTAAACATCCCTTACAGGCCGCAACATGGCTCAGTGTATGGAGACAGCTCAGAGCATGTACATAGGACAGCGTGGGACAAAACGGAAAGCTAGCGAAGAAGAACCAAGCACTCAGAACAACAGCGACGGCCAATTACCCAGTAACCAAACACTCTCTCTTCTGTCTCAATCTTCTCCAACGCAGAACTCACCGGCAAACTTCCAACGCCAACCCGCTATGACTCCCGGACCCCATTTGCAACAATCTCAGCAACCTGAGCAGCCTCCCAAGAAGAAAAAGGGTCGTCCGGCATATGCAGGTCGGGACGTGACTAGCCAGCGACCTTTCAACCCTCGACCTATCGCTCCAAAACCATCTGCACAAACTCTACAGAATGCTCACTCGGCTTTTCGTCCTATTGCTCCGGCCCCTCATGTTGTTCTCTCACCACGCCCCCCCGGATCATTGCATAATACCTACAGAGGTCTGAACCGTGCACCTCCCGTGGAGTTTCACAATGCGCCCAGTGATTTAGACCCTCATCGGTCGTCTACCACATCGTCCGCTGGAGCCCTTCAGCCAAACCAGCCAGCAGGAATTCTAGACAATATACTGGTAGGAAATCCCATTTCATCTGTTGGACGTCGGCTAATACTCTGATAGCATGGAGAACAAATGTCTAACCGCCCGAGATCACTTAGTGAAGCGGTACCGCTCGTGAAAAAGCAAGAAGATTTTCCAAACAACCGATCAAGCTCCTTGCAGCCGATTGGAACTGACGACCAAAACCGTACGATGCAAAGCAAAGCATCGGATCAGATGCAAGAAACAAAAACAAACTCGGATAAGGAGATCACAAATTGACGTCAGAGAAAGAGTTAGGGCTATGGGACCAACAGTTCTTAATGAACAAATGAGAGAGAACAAGGCTTTTCCCCGATCGCTCGCGGGAGAATTGGTACGACAATGCTGAGCAAGGATGTTAATGACGATTTAAGGGTAACGAGAACGGCATAGACAAGGGCCAATGATAAGAGAGCAGCTGGATTGACTCTCACGTAATCTGTTCAAAGCAGGGAGACTAATAGACATGAACTTGAGGACATCTTCATGACCGTATACGGGCACCAATAGATAGGGTTTGTGAACTAGGCAATAAGAATTCTTATCAACTAGGACATTATCTTTCGTTCCGTACCTGAGCGCCGTTAGGTGCAGTTTGCATACCTGCTCGACATAGCCCGGACAGTAGGCATCTATCTATTGAAGAGAGAAGCATGTCACAACAAAAGAGTATAATGCTGAAGCAGGTAGAAGCAAGTATATGAAGAAAGCAAGACGCTTATGTTGATTGCATTAAACCTCCTTATCCTTGGCTTCGTATCACACAATCAAGTATTTCTTTGCCTAGTCTATTCCAGATTTTCGGACTCGAGATAAAACAAATATCTGGATCTCCTAGGTCTTCGCTAAAAACATATCTCTGATATTTTCAGATAATCCCAAACTCCACCATCCTTAAATAGCTATTTTGATGTCCTTCTTGCATTTTCTTTTTAATGCTTAACAATCTTCTCAATTGTGTCCACAAGGATATCAGCGTGCTTCTGCTGGAAAATGAGCATAGGTCGTAGACGAACGGCGCTGGCGCCACTGCCACCGATGTTCACACCCAGGGTCTTGGCCTCAGCCAGGAACTGGTCACGCTTGGGGCTATCGAAGGCAATGAATGTACCTTGACCCTTGCCACGGAGGTTCTCGATCTGACCGGGGTACTTCTTGCTAAGAGACTCGAGGTCCTTGAAGAGGCGATCACCAACTCGTGCCGTGTGGTTGACGAGGTCGTTCTTGTTGATTTCGTCGACAATGGCCTTGAAGAGGATGGCGCGAGCTGGGTCACCCATCCATGTGTTGAACTGTCTGTAAGGCTTGTTGGGACGGATAGCAGGGTCGCCATAGTAGAAACCGGCAGCTTGAGCCTTCTTGGAGAAGGTCACGATATCAGGGGGGGTCTCGAGGTTCCAGTGCTCGTGAGCCCAGAACTTGCCAGTAGCGCCAATACCGGTCTGGACTTCGTCCACAATAAGTAGAATGTTGTGCTTCTTAGTCAGAGCTCGCAGCTTGCGGAAGAAGTCAGGCGAAGCGTGGTTGTCACCGCCTTCACTCTGGACAGGCTCGACGACAACGGCGCAAGGAGGCAGGTGCCAGCTCTTGATAAGGTGCTCGACTTCATCGAGACTGGCCTGCTCGATCTTCTTGTTCTCCTCCACATTCTCCTCGAGAGGGTACTTGAGCTTGGGGAAAGTCGCTTGAGGCCAGTCAAAAGCAGGGATGTCGACCTTGTGGATAGCCTTGGAGCGGGTAGTAGAAAGCGATCCAAAGAGACGACCGTGGAAGCCGGTCTTGAAAGAAAGGATAGATAGATCAGGGCTACCGGGGGCATGGTTGTTCATAGCACTGTCAAGTTCCTTAGGGCTGAAATCAACCTCGGGGCCACCACGCTCCTGTTGCCGGCGCCACATAAAGGCGGCCTTGTAGGCAGTCTCGTTCGCATCAGAGCCAGCCATGGCAGTAAAGACATTGTCTAGGCCCTTCGGAGCAACAGTGAGAAGACTAGACTTGAGAAGAGCGGCCCAGTCGTGAGAGGGGAAGGCTCCGAGGGCAGGTCGGTTGACAATGGCGTTCACCATCTCGGGGCTGGAGGCGGCCTTGAGAAGGGCAGGGTTGTTATAACCGACTGCAATTGAAGCAATCTGAGCAAAGCTATTTTCATTGTTAGTGATACGTGAAAAGGCTCGCTTTCAATTGATGCTTACACATCGAGAAGCACGTTGCCATCGGGGTCGGCAATGTAGTTGCCCTTGCTCTTGGTGTAGTCGACAAGCATGTTTGCGCTACGGGTATCAAAGACTTTGGTGAGCTCATCCATGTGGTTCTTGGTCCGAGGGCCAGGAATAGCTGTCTTGACCGTAGGGGCCTCTGGCTCGCCATCGAAGAAGGACTTCTCAGAAACAGCAGCCATTCGCATGCTTCGTGAAGTAGCGAAAGAGCGGCAAGCTGCAGCTCGGGCAGCTCGAACAGCAGGCCGGGCGGCCATGCCAGCGCGGAAAGCCGACATGACTAAGAGTTGCGATTGATGAAGAGTGTGAATGTCTTGTGAAGTGCTTCGACCGTGAGGTTATGAATTGGAGCTGTGGTTTGCTTGCTAAGGAAAGGGAAGGAAGTTAGCATATAGAAAGCGTGTCGTCATGATAAGCTAACAGGGTCACGAGGTGCAACCATGATAGAAGCCAAATTGAGAGGGGCAACTCACTCTTGGTAGAGGTTTTGAAAGTATAAGAATGTCACACAGATGGGAGATATGGAAGAGGAGGGGAGAAAAGGAAGGGAGGTTGTCGTCAGCCCTTTTATAATGTATCACTTGTCCAGAACCCAGGAAGGAAGGGTCCTTACTCGGACCCGGCTCTCACCCAGCACCGGGGGTAGTCATGATGTCCCAAGCTTACAACTGAAAACTAAAAATGTTTCTTTTCCCCGCATTCGTTCTCAGAAATTGACCAAGCGGAGCGCGGAAGTTGGTGAGAGACAGCGGAGGGAAACAGGAAAGAGGGAGGGGTGAAGTTAGACGTGTTGAAAACTTGCCGTAATAGGTAAGAAGCTGTAGTGCCCCAGCTCCTCTGTATTCTCTCCGCTATCAGTTATCTTTGTTACCTTGGGTTCCTGTCATGACTAGGGACCCATATCAAATTGCGAGACACGGTTGTTTTCTAGATAACAATAATGATTCCAATATCGTCTGTGAGAACATCTGCTCTTCTAATTCAATCTCACCTTGTCTTGATAACGAGGCCCGTGCCTCACCTTTACCTTTACCTTCACCTTACCCACGGTGAACCTAGACCCAGATCTCGATAACAGACTGCAGTGCCGAAATGTCCACTGCATTGTGCAGGGGTCAGATACCCAAAATACGTACCGATAACATCCATGGATGGATTGTCCAACCATCATTGCAGTCCATCTCACACTCGAGAACGCCCCGTGACCGTTTGCCAGCCACTGCGTACTTTACATATCCTCCACGGCACTGTCTGCAATCCAGGTATTATTTATTCGATAACAGAATCGATTCACCCTTTCACGGGTTGACCTTCCTGATTCCATGGCCCACTCTCCAAATCCACCAAACTTGTCAAGGCGCGGGGTAGGTATCTCCATCTCTCGGGGTACCTGGTATAAAACGGCTCTCAGATACTGAGACGCCTTCTAGCTACAGTACTTACAACCAATCTAGTCAGGATTTCCGACCACGATTCCTCACCGAACTCACCTCGAGACATGATTGCTTACTTTATTTGGTGATCTTTCTACCAGAGTGGGGGTTTATTTGCTATTTAACAAGCAACATATCTCCCATCATAACATAAATACACCCCCAGACAGTAGCCGTCTTTACCGTTCCACACACCGGACCGGTTCCGGTCTCGGAGCCGTCCGAGTTCTCGGCTGCCAGACGTCGCTTTTAGTGCGTTTGGCGTCCAGAAGCCTTCCCTTTGGGGCAGGTTAAGGGAGACTGGAGGCTCTGTCGATGGTCTAGACAATTATCCATCTATAGACATTGGAACATGATAACAATCACATGAGTTGAAGACAAGATTTTCATATTGGCCTATCTCTCCAGTCAATTCAAGTTGCCTCGATTCTGCGCGTGGCCATAAAGTTCCATGCTGTCACAATGCCAATCTATAATTCAGAGGAAACCTGGCTCTTCCATCCTTATCAACTGTGTTAACAAATCATGTTATGCGTCCGATTCCGATGCCCAAAAGTACTCGCTGCCAGAAATGCAATGCCAATGCCATGCCTGTATCATAGAAACAACGCCCACAATGCCCAAAACTCCTGATTCGCTTGCAAGCTAAATGTCTTTCTCATGCTCCCGCATATATCTGACAAAAGTCTTCTTGTGAGTCTGGTAGCCAAGTTAGCATCATGGCCTGAACATCAATCCCAAGCAATAATCAGCGAATACTTACCATTCCAGCATATTTGCCGTCTTTCAGCACACAGATGTATCTGAGTCCGAGCTTCGAGAAAAGCTCGTACACCAAGTCCATTGGTGATCTGATATCCAGCGCAACGGGTGCCTAACTCGTCAGTGGTGTGCGAGGTAGCACATATCACGGAATACTCACAGGATCTATATAAGGTGTAAAATCTGTGGGGTCGTGTTCTCCCTCATCTTCGTCAATGCTAGGAACGTGGTCCATGAGGCAAAGATTCGTTGCTTCGTCCTCTAACTGATCGAGAGCATATCCAAGATCAGGTGCAGGAATCAGCCCAACCAAAATGCCATGTCGCACAATTGGCAATCCTCCATCGAGTTCGCCAGCCTTGTGCAGAAGCTCGAGTTTAATCCTCAAGCTGGTAGCAGGTACAACCGGTGAGTTCGTAATGTCAATAATTCGTTCTTTTCGAATCCGTGGCACAATGTCAGCTAGGTCTTCCGTAAAGATAGGCTTATGCTTATTGTCCAAGAATGGATATGAATTCATGCTGGTGAGGAGATCCTGTACAAGTCAGCCGCTGCTCCGTATTTGGCCAAAAAAGAAAGACTTACATAGATGCTGTTGGGCTCAATAGCATCAGCTGTCCATTTAGACACGAGGATCGCGAGAGAGAAGGGCAAGACATAATCAAGGCTACCCGTGAGCTCGAACAAGATAACTGCGAGCGTGACAGACAATCTCGTCACACCACACATGGTGGCACCGGCTGCGATGAGACCATACACACCAGGTTGGATGCACGAGCCGTCTCTGCTGAATGCACAGTCTCCCCAGATAGCCCAATCCGGAACACGTAGCACAGCCCACTGCACCATATGGCCGACTATTCGGCCCATCAGGCCTCCAACAACCATAGACGGTACATAGATTCCAGCCGGAACTTTCTGTTGGATGTGTTAGTTTATGCCACGACTCGTTCCAAATCAGACTTACAATGCCAAAAGTGATAACGGTGAGGAAGCCCTTGATCAAGAGGGCAACAAACAATTCAAAAAGAATAGGGGGGATCTCATCGATAGCCCCAGGGCACAATGCTCGTTCTTCCCAGTCAATACTAGAACCCTCGCACGGTGATGCGAGATTCAGAAGCAGCTCAGCAACAGGAAGCTTTGTCAAAGCATTCCAATAGCTCATCAATCCTGTTACCAGTGCTACAAGGAGTACCTCCAGCAAAGGGTGCTTTTTAATCAGCTTAATCCTTCTGAAGGATTGAGCCCAGTATTTTGAGGCTTTGATGAACAGCGCTCCCAGTGCACCGCCGATGACGCCCACAAATATGAAGCTTCCAAGCTCGAAATACTCCCAGTCGGCCAGATATCTCACTTCAAAGAGAACGATCTTGTGTGTACCGTAGGGGTTGAGGAATTTGAGAGACAGTGCGGCGACGATACAGCAGAAGAAGGTTCGAAACAGCGTTTTGGCAGGGAAAAAGTATGAAACTTCTTCGAGGCCGAACAATACTCCGCCTAGCGGCGCACCAAATGCAACGGCGACTCCTGCGGCTGCGGCTGCCGAAATAACCTCTCTTCGCTTTCCGTCGTTTCGATCATACTTGGAAAATATTCGACACAAGATATTGCCAACGCAGGCAGCCATGTGAACGTACGGGCCCTCTTTTCCGAGACTCATGCCAGAGGCGACACTTAGGATTAGTGCTACCATCTTGATAATCAAGGTCCTGGCACCCAGGAAACCGTGCAGAACGAAGCCACTCAGTATAACACGAACCTCGGCAACTCCGCTGCCAGCTGCAGAATAGTAAACCATAGGTGGGTTTTCTGGTTTTGGATCGGGTTGCGGTTGAGGTGTCGACGATTCACTAGGGTTCGAGTCATCGTATGTCTGGGCGGGTTCATCAACAGCTAGGTTCTCGTCTAGTGTCGTCAGTTGATACGCAGATGGGACAACTGTTTTTGTCCATAGTGCTATCCAACAGGCAATGAGAGAAAGAGCGAGAACAAAGGCCATATAGATCGCGAAGCTTCTCCAGATGTCTCCAGAAGGGCTGTTTACAGCATGTGCCCACCTTACCCAGTCCTCACAGACTTCTTCGGCGCAGCATCTCTAAGGTCAATATTAGCCGACTTTCGTTCTAAGGACAAGCTGAAGAAGGTTGTGCACCAATCGATGATGCAAGGTGATTGCTGACCTTTCTGCTGAGATACCAAGCTTTACTGCAGTAGCCTTCCTTGAAATCAAAGACAGTAGATTCAGCAACATCAACTGTGTATGCCATCAATGCAACGAGAAAGCCACAAAGAGCACTAAGAATCCAGCCCTGGGCGCCATCAAAGATAATGCGAACCCTGCCCCAAAAGTCCTTACGACTCCGTAGCTCCTTGACCCTGTAGGAATCGGCGATTGCGTCGTGCACCCAGTCGGTACTGGTGAATTGATCGTACCACATACGTTCATCGGGGAAAATGGTGCCTTTCGACTCGGCCATAGAGGATTCATGGCGGTCGGACAGGGCGTTAACCAGTCTCGAGCTCCACGAGGGATGTCGGCTATGATTTCGAGAGCCATGATAGGCACCTGAGACATGAAATATGGTTAGCTAGAGTCAGAATAAATACGCTATTGAAGAACGCACCCATGTAGCTGTGGTCCCGCGATAGGGATCCTTTTTGCTGACGAGTCGAGCTTTGCTGACTGATACGAATGCGCGACCTTGACGCTGTGAGCAAGGGGGTTCGCTCATCTAGTTCGCCTGTCGAAGCGTTCCGCTGCAAAGGATTCCGTCGTCGCGTAGTCCGTGGCGAGGGCGGCTCGGAGCCTTCTGCTTCTTGTCCCGCCATGATGGAATGGAACTGTGGTGGAAATGAAGTTGAAGGAACAGCGAGTGGAGTGCTAGGCAAGCTCCAAGAGCGACGGGTTAAGCAAGGCGCCTGCTCCGTAGATTAAGGGAAGATAAAAGATCAGCAGCAAGTGAAACAGAGACTGGGACACAGGGACGATCTGGTCCGAGTATTGTATATCGCGACGCCCGTGCTTCGTCCTAGAACTTTGATGGATCGTTGGTTGTCACACCGTCACCTTCTCAGGGTCCAGGTGACCCTCGTTGGTGGGAGTGTGGATGCGCGCCAAGCGTGACTGGACTTTAAATCAAGATGGCGGGGGGTAATCAGGTATAAATAGAGGCGCCTGACGAAGATGACAGGGAGAATCGAGAGATGGAGAAGAGAAAGGAAGATTCCCATTGACGGCTGGGGCTAGATCAAGGTTTGGAAGGAGCGAGGGGTGCTAACTTAAGGTTGTTTTCTTCTTGTTATTGGTCTCGTCAACTGTCAACTGCCACATTCGGTAACAAATGCGCCGAGTCTTCAACGTCAACGTTAACGTTGAATCAAACTCACGTACCCGTCCAACTCGAAATTCTATTTACTGTTCCCTTCTAGAGTATTCCTTTCTCTCTGTTCACAATATGTTAACTCTTCTCTACCAAAGGTTCCCAGATGAGCGGGCTTAAGAGCCACAAGGGAGATAGATATCACAAACATGATGAAACGCAATAAAGGGTACAGGAGCCAGCCACCATAGCACGGCATGCATTCTAGAGGTACATGAGCGGTCTACGCGTTGTGCCCAGATTTATAAGTACCTGTCACTACCTGAGGGAAGTCCTTTGGCATTTCGTCATTGTGCTGTAGAGAGTCCCCACCAAACGATTAGCTGACTCGAGCGACGTCCACTTTCTGCCGTAGGCGACTAGCGTCAAGCGCTTGTTGCGCATGGAACGGTTAAATGGAAGATTGATTTGCTTCTGATTATCTGATATCGAAGGGCTTCCATGTCATCTATGAAATGCAATTGACATTGGTATATTTTCTAGCTTGATCCATACATGTACATTGTATACAGACCTGAACTCGGTGTCACTTGAAGCCATTATCCTTGCATCTGCCGTAGCCGAAGTAACATGCTAAGCATTTTACGAAGTGGTTCTGACAAGGGCTTATATTAGGGAGACGATCTTGGAAGTGGGATGCTGTATCCCACGAATCATTCGGGCGTTGGCCGACAATTTACGAGGCATCTTGGTGATGGAGCTACTACGTACAAAGCAAAGGCAATGCTTGATCAACCCCTCAACTGAGACATTTGTTTGGATCTGGACTGTCTCAGCGAGACTACGCGGCCGACGATCATGTGTGTTCTGAACTTCTGGATAATGTAAGCTGAGACTGACCATGTGTTGCAATTGGTTCCCATCATATCAACTTTATTGTCAGCCAAAGCGCAGATGGATCTGTACAGCCGATCGTTTTATTTCCGGGTATGGCTGGTGAAATTCTGTGGCGTCGGTGTGGCTGATGGCGGGCTACCTTATCTCTTATCGGCTAAAAATTCAGAAAAAGTTGCGACTGCGACGGGCTATTTTCGCAACTTTGGCTACCTAAACTTTAGAAGTCTTTTCTTTTCACCCATTCAAATTCTTCACAGCCCGCGAATATGGCTAAGAAGAGAAAGGCATCAGGGCGCAACAATGCGCCATCAGGCCCCAAAGAACTTGATCCTTCGGACGCCCGCCTTGGACCTATCACTACCTATGAAGATGTTGCCGACTCAGAGGACGAATACTTCATAAACCGAGACCAAATACTGCTCGACGAAGAGCCAGACTCAAAACGTCGAAAGAAAGAAGATGATGATATCGAGCTGTCCGACGAAGAGGTTCTTGGATATGAGGACTCCGACTCGGAAGAGGAGGACGACCAGGATGATCAACCGCGCAAGAACAAGGGTTCAGCATCCAAAGATGCACTCTCAGACGACGAAGCTGGCCAGGAAGAGGAGGAGGGCGATTCAGGTTGGTGGGGATCCTCAAGAAACGACTACTATAATGCCGACAATATCGAGACTGAGGCCGATGCTCTCGAAGAAGAAGTGGAAGCCAAGCGTCTTCAGCAGAAGAAGCTTTCCAAGATGGCTGAGGAGGATTTCATTTTTGATGGTGACGAGTGGCTAGCCGAGGGCCAAGAAGATGGCGAGGGCGAAGAGACAATTACAGAAGTCCTAAAGGAAGTTGAGATTACCGACGACATGAGCCCCGAAGAGCGATATACAATTCTCAAGAACCGGTACCCCGAGTTCGAACCCCTTGTCAGGGAATTCCAGAACCTACAACCCACTTTGGTGGATTTGCAAAAATCAGCTCAGGGTCTCTCGGGCCAATCACTAGAAGCTGTCAAGTACTGGGTGGCCGGTTGTTACGTTGCTGCTCTCGCAAGCTATTTTGCCATCCTGACATCTCCAGCAAGAGATAACGCAAAGGTGCAGAAGACTATTGATCCTGCTGAGCTACGAGATCACGAGGTCATGGAGACCTTGATGAATTGTCGTGAGGCATGGCAAAAGGTCAAGGATCTCAAGTCAACCAAGAGTTTCGATGAAGACGTTATTTCAGATATCGACGATGATGCATTGATGCAGGGTGTTGAGAACCTCGAGGCCGAGGTGAAGAAAACAAAGAAGAGCAAGAAGTCATCGAAGCAAGAAAAGGCTGCTGCTGAGAAACTGGCGCGAAAGTTGGAGAAGGTCAAGGCTGGAGAAGCTGCTGTCGCCGATCTCTACGATCTACCTCTTCCTGGCAAGAAATCCAAGAAGTCCAAGAAGGCTGTTGCTATCGAACAAGACGACGACAACTCCGACTTTGGTGAAGAGGACGTTCTTGATGAGCGAACCGCAGCTGAGAAGGCCGCCCGCAAGAAGAGCCTCAAGTTCTACACCTCTCAAATCGTACAGAAGGCGAACAAGCGTGCTGGTGCTGGAAGGGATGCCGGTGGCGACATGGATATTCCTCACCGCGAACGTCTTCGAGACCGTGCAGCGCGCCTTAACGCTGAGGCTGAGCGACGTGGACAGAAGAACTCCAAGCTAGGGGCAGACCTCGACGACAACAGTGACGATGAGGACACCACAACGGCCAAGACTGTTCGTGACAATGAGGACGAGTACTACGATATGGTGGCGCAAAAATCAAAGAAGAACAAGGAGGACAAGGCCGCCCGCTACGCAGCATACGCTGCTGCCAGCAAGGCAGATCGAGTGGTCGAGAAGGAGGAGCTTGGCGAGGATGGCAAGCGTAAGATCACATATGCTATCGAGAAAAACAAGGGTCTGGCGCCCAAGCGAAGCAAGGATGTCAGGAACCCCAGAGTCAAGAAGCGCAAGCAGTACGAGGCGAAGCAGAAGAAGTTGAAGAGCATGAAGCCTGTTTGGCAAGGCGGCGAGCCCAAGGGAGGATACCAAGGAGAGCTGTCAGGTATCAACACAGCTGTTGTCAAGAGCACAAGACTATAGATTTAAATTCATTAAGGACTTGGTTAATAGCGTCATCAAAGAATTTACCCAATCTTGTGAATATTCATCTGCCTGAGTACCGCATTGTTCATGTAAGTCCCCTGATTGTCAGTTTATGGCGGGTCGACCCTTGTATGGCGGGGCCAAACTCCACGTTGCTTGAACAGCTTCCCTTAAGCAAACCTACAACCTTCCAACGTCTCTCCTTAACTTTCAAACGACCCTACCGAAATTAGTGCGACAAACTTTCGAGCCGATGCCTATCAACAGGTAACACCAAGACTATACGATTTATCGCTCGTGCGCAACAATGGCCGATATCGACACTTCAAAGCTCACCTCATCCGCCCAGATCTTCTCCCCGAATAATACCCTTCCTCAGATCCGAGCTATTCACAAAAGCCTCCATGTCGCAATCGAAGAAAAGTCTACCCGCCTGCGCACTCAGGTCGGAAGTTCTTATCGCGATCTTCTCGGTACGGCGGACACTATCGTGCACATGCGCGATGACAATGATGTCGTTCAAGAGCTTCTAGGCAAGATGGGTGGCCGATGCGGTAGAGCTGTGATCAGTGCCAAGGCTACGGGTCTCGCGAATTTTGTCGCGAAGGAGAACAAGTCCGCTACTTCTATCGCGGCACGGTTAAGGCTACTCGATGCTTGTGTCCTGGTTGTTGGGCGAATACTCAAGGGTAGTGGTGGACTGGGCGACAATGTCAAGAAGGGAGACAGATTGGTACTTTCTACAAAGGTCCTTGTTCTGAGTCGACTCTTGATAAAGAGTCTCTCGGACGATGCGACTGACACTAGCAGTCGCCGAGCCATCGAAACCGCCAGAACATCCGTTAGCAAGCTACGACGAAGGTTGCTCAGAAATGTCGAGAAAGTCTTTGAGAGGGCTGGCGATGAGACGGAGAGGGAAGACGTGCAAAAGGCACTATGTGCATACAGCTTGGCAACAAGCTGTGGAGCAAGAGACGTCCTCCGTCATTTTCTCCATGTGAGAGCAGAGGCTATGGGACTAGCATTTGAGGTGGAAGAGAATAATCGCAAGAGGAGTACTGACGACGTTGTTCAAAGTTTGAGGCTCTATTCGAGAACCCTTCTTGATGTTCAAGCTTTGGTACCAGGCAGGTTGTCATTAGCGCTATCTGGGCTCAAGAGCCACCCTCTCCTAGCTGACCCCGGGCTCAAGCAGCTTGAAGGGTTGCGGTTAGACATCTATGAACGCTGGTGTGACGAAGAAATCCAATACTTCACACCTTTCGTCCGACATGACGACCTGGATGGAAGCCAAGCTCGTGAAATGCTAGCTGCATGGTCCGAGAAGGGATCTGAGGTTCTCCTCGACGGACTGAAGAAAACGCTGAACACAATGTCCGAATTCAAGTTGATTATGGAACTTCGAACAAGTGTTTTGGAACTTTGGATTAGAGACGGTGGGAAGGCTCGAGGTATCGATCCATCAGAACTGCAGGATTCTCTCCGCGAAGCTATCAACTCACGTATGCTCGAAGTCCTCGATACAAAGGTCAGCAAACTTCGCTTAGTTGGGTCAGAGGTCTCTGCAGCCCTAGGACGATGGAAGGATGGTATCACCGATGAACATGTGAGCATCTGGAACGAAGAAGGTTACGATGAGGCTCTCGCAGGTGGCGCTGCCCCATTTGTGCAAGAGGTCGTGTCTCGATTTTATGGACGAAATGATGCTGTTTCCAAAGCAGCGCACTCTTACAAATCGTGGTATCATGTCATCGATGATGTCAAGGAAGTTGTTGAGCAACTGAGACGGCAACGCTGGGACAATGATTACGACGAGATCGAGGATGAGGAGACGATTGAAGCTCGACAGAAACTTCTAAGCAAGGATGATCCGCAGATGCTACAAGAGAGGCTGGATGCCACGCTAGACAAGTCTTTCAAAGAGCTTGAAGATCAAATCCAAAGACTTTGGGATGAGCGGGTCGAGTCACCGCGCAACGGTAAAGTAGCCATGTACTTCCTCCGTGTTTTACGAGATATCCGACACCAGCTGCCAGAGCGCCCTTCCATCAAGAGCTTTGGCCTGAAGGTTGTCCCTTCAATGCACGAGAAGGTGGCTGTGGCAGTTTCAAAGCCTACGCTGGAAGAGTTCTCCACACAAGGACTTTCACAGCGGGTTGTGGTGGGTCGACCACTTTGGGGTGGAGAGCCAGCGCTACCTAATCAACCCTCGCCAGAGATTTTCCAGTTCCTACGATCGCTATCACTGTCTATGTCGGACGAGGGGGTTGATCTCTGGACCAAGGCGGGTGTATCTGTGTTGAAGAAGCACCTGACTGAGCAACTATGCAAAATGTGGGAGGCAGCAGTGGTGGAGAACTCATTCGAAGACAAGGAAGACCTCAAAGATGAGAAGTCAAAGGAGGTAGATGCAAAGGAGGAGAAGGACGATGGTGATACGGAGGATGAGAATGCAGAGGAGACCGATGAAAAGAAGGCCAATGCCGAGGAGTTACCAAAGCCTGAAGATGATACCGAAGAGAAGAAACCCGGTCTCAGCCCCGAGCAGAAGACGGATCTCTTCACACAATGGCTCTTTGATATTGCCCTCTTGCGGCGTTGCATTGGCAACACAGAGCCACCAAGCAGCTCGTTCCAGAACCTCGAGGACAATGTTTACCAACACTCCAAGTTGGACGAGGCAGCAAAGCAACGGATCTCAAAGTCAGCCAACGACTTCTGGCAACGAGTCAGTTTACTGTTTGGTCTGCTAGCATAGGGAACAAGCGATACTTGACAATAGAATCGAAGACTATTAATAGCCCACTAATTGTGACGCTCCTGCTGAAGACACTATCGATTCACCTGTGCTCTTCACACCGAACATAGTATGTATGGCAGTGCTAGCGCCTTGTTCATAGGGCATCATGACATGTTCGCCTATCACATACGACCACAGCTCGTAGAGAACACGGGGTCCCGTCCGCTCCCCCTTAGTTAAGCTGCGAAGCGCTGGATTAGTAGTTGGGTCGGTGACGACCAGCGAATCCCCAGTGTTGTATGTATTTGATCTACCTTTCAGGTTCCTTTTTGTTCCACGTTTATGCGGTTCTTGTAATATTCTGAAGGGCATCGTAGGTTGCTTGGCTTGGCGGCGTGCCATGTGAGTGAGGGGCAAGAAAAGACACACAAACGAAAAGTGAGAGCATGTTCATGATAGGTCCTTATTACTTCATGGTTTCTTCTCCAGTATAGATAATATAGCTGTAAACCATCACAGCTTGTGTCGCTTCGCCCCGCTCGCAAGCTTTGCAAACTCCTCCTGAGGAACACCCGTCATAAACCTCTCCAACCCAGCAAAGACCTCATGGACATTCTGTGTATGCAGAATATCCAGCTCAGGCTTCCTGATCAGCTTCTTGATTCCAATCAAGCTGTCTCCAATGAGATGGTCTCCCAGTCTCTCGTCAACCTCATGCAACACTCTAGCCCTGAACTTGACATCATCGCCCTCGTCAAATATGGCATTAACAAATCCACAGCGTTCAAGGTCCTGAGATCCAATGCGGCGACTCATGAGCAATGCTTCGTTCGCTCGTGCAGGTCCGAGACGTAGTGCCAGTGCTCGTGATGCACCGCCCTCAGCGACAAGACCAATGGATGAGAAAGGTGTGAGGAGGAAAGTTGACGGCGCGCAGTAAATGAAATCAGCAAATGCAATGAGTGCAGCTGTAAGGCCTACGACAGGGCCGTTGAGACCAACGACGAGGACCTTGGGATGAGTTGCAAAGGCATGAGTAATGTTCAAGTTTTGAGCGACAAAGCCCTGTAAGACTTGCTTATGGACTGCTTTTCCGTCTCCAGCTAACTCTCGAGATACTCCCACGTCAGCTCCTCTGCGAACGGTCAGCTATGTCCATACTTAATATTGGTTGTCCAGCATTTCGGAGACACAATAAACTATGTGGATGGATAGGATCTATATGGGGTTCTCACGCTGAAAAGTATCGACCCTTTGCCAAAATCACTGTGATGAAAACCTCGTCATGAGTAGCAATCTCTCGCATCTTCTGAGCGAGGTCATAGTATTGTGCTGCGTTGAAGGCGTTGAGCTTTCGTTCATTACAAATAGTCAAAACGGCTACACGGCCACGATACTCGAGTTGAAGAGTAGATTCTTCCGCCATATTGGAATAGGTAGTATAAAGGATAAGATGGAGGATATTTGAAACGAGAAGATCAGATGAATGGAGGAGAAGAGACTCGTATGTTGAATGATAAAGAGGATAACCAGAAGAAGTTGACTTCTTATTCTCCCCAACCTAGGGTAATTTACTTACATGGGTGTTGATGATTACCCCGGATCTTGTCTCCCCACTCGGTTGGCGTACCGAGATGCCTCGGCATGGGAGGCGGAGATGTTGCCAGAGCCAAGTCTGCAGGGAGATCGATCACTATAGAACCACTATTTGGTTGATTGTTGACCGTGCATGGGATGATGAATAGATTGATACCCGAGTTGCATGATGCTGGAGTTATTGTACAGAATTTATTAAGCTCTAAACATAGGTACGTTATATTAGTTGTGTGCAACTGAAGTGAACTAAGAGCATCTTGTTGAAATATCAAGGACCAATCACGAACCAACCACGAGGGTCTCGATTAAAGAAGTATATATAATGTGTATGAATAATTCGAGCTACTATCTTGGTAGGCATTGAATTACTGAAGCCCAGGGTACATTGCCATCCCCGGTCCATCCGCAAAACTCCTTTGCCGAAAGATTCAGCATGCAATTTCTTTTCAATCATCACAATAATCACCCGCTCACACCGTCACCTTAAACATTCTTCCTCACAATGACTGACGCCTCATGAACGCGATTCTTATCGGCGTTTCGGGGCAAATTGCCTCTGCTTGGGGAAGTTCAAAGGCAGCGTTAGACGGGCTACGCTAACCGTTTGTTTCGTATCCTTGTTTGTAACGTGCTTCACACGACCGCCAATCTCCTGGAAATAGGCATTCATGGTCTTCTGGTCGATCTTCAGGTCGTCACGTAGGTTCTGTGTGTCAACTTCGAAGTTGTCGATGATGCTTGCGAAAACACAGCAATGTGTTATCAGCAGATCAACGTGGAACTTGCGCATCTCGCCACGGTCGGAAAACTTGCGGCGAATGCTCTCAATCACAGCCTCGGGTGCAGGAGCAAGAAACTCCCTAAGCTTCTCTCGAGGTGCGATAGTTCGGGTGCCACGGACCTTGCCAGGCTTGCTGTGGAGGTAGAAAAGCAGCACGAAGAAGAAGTAACGTAGTACACGCAGTCGATCCACGGCCTCCTCGTTGCCTGCCACACGGTTCACCCGAGCGGCAACAAAGCGTGACGGCACCTGAATGCTCTCCTTGTGTTGCACCTTCTCTTGCCATTCTCGAACGGGGACCAGCTTAAGGATGTCGGCTCCGATGATCTTCTTGGGATCGTAAACGTCTTGGATCTCGGTCGCTTCCATGTTGGCAATGGGCACAGGCTTGGCGGCATCTACAACCGCTTGTAACTCCTCTCTCGATGACATGGTCGATGTGACTTCTCCGACAGAGTTGAGCATAGCACGTGCTGCTGCGTCAATCTTGGCAGGCTCTTCCCCAGCCTTCTTTTGTGGTGCGATAGCGTTCAAGACGTTCTCTTGGATCGCCTTCTTGGCCTTCTTGGTACCAAATGTCTGGCCGAGGTCGGTCTTAAGCTGTAGCATTGTCTGTGCTTCGTTAGAATTTCGCCCCTCCAGAGTAGATTGATATAGACGTACCTGGCTGTTATCGCGCTGACCAGAATTAGCAGCGGCGCCCTGCCTTGCTCGTACTGAAGCCCGCATCGTCATCTTCTTTGCCTCGACGACCTCAAGTTTTCCTGTCTTGGGATCGTAGATTCCGAGGAAGTGATTTAAAGCTGGCTTTTTCCCTCTTGGCTCGTCCGATTTGACTGTGTAGTCCATAGATCGATGCGCATTCGAATGCAGCAGGAAATCTTTTTCGGCAGCCGATTCAGGCTGCTTACTTTTTGACTTGGCACCATTCTTGGGCGCATATGAGTGGAAGGGAATATTCTTTGGTACTTGGAATCCAACAGCCGTCGCTATTCGAGATCAGTCAATATCTGTCGCATCGCGCCCAAGCAGAGGTGTGGTGGTTGGTACCTATCACGGGAGGGCAGAACTTGGGTCTGAGGACGGAAGAGACGGTCGCTGATGAAGGAGGCGCATCAATAACGACCTTCTTCTTTGGCTTCGTAGACTCTCCGCTTCTCTTGCGCTTTTCGCTTCCCATGTTGGATGGTCGATTATCGATTTCGTATGTAGTCTTGAGTACTATTGATGCAGACAAGGTCTTAGAATTTTTTTGACTTTCTGCGGCAGAAAGAGAGCGTCCGCCGTTTAGCCGGCCGGACAAGGAAGGCGGTAAGAGGCGAGAACGTACATTGAGATCTGTTGAAGAATTGAGTTGAGAATCTAATATACAAGAGCCGCGTGGAAGAGTTTCTGAATCTCGAATTTATATACTGTTGTATGAAGCTCAATTGATGATTGATGTATTCTGCTGAGCTTCACTATCCCCAAATTTCCATATCTTCAACATTCCATCTCTGATGTGCTGTAACCCATCTATTGGCAGCTCCGCATCGAGGTGACGTCGTTCCACCTGAGAGCTGAATGCGACAGAGCGTCGCGCACAACACATCGTCAGTTTTAATATTGAGAAACGGCGAAATTAAGCGCATTGAAAGAATTGATATCACAATATCATGAAGCAATTAGGCCCGAGACTGAAGCGCATGAGTTCGGTAACAATTAGCGCGGTACAGGGGTAGCTCAATCTCCTAGAGCTAACTGGTGTCACGAGGCCACAATCACAAATCACACAAATTGTCAGAGTAATACTCTGTATTTCTTTGTCTTAGAACTGCCAATCAAGTTCTGAATGCATCGTCTTTTACGAGCATGACTGATGGTCTTTGATCCTAACACCGCCTGGTTCCCGACCGTCCAATTGTCATAATCCCCATCCCCATAATGTTCATTGTGCCCAACAGCCGCTCAAGTGCGGGGTTCTACCACCGTGACGTAGTTCCCAAAGTCAAATCCCAGCTCAGTACATTGCGGGACATCCCAGAGGCGCCAGAGTAGTGTTCGCAGCTTCGGCCAGAGTATCGTTGTGCGTGTGAAGTCGTAACATCATGAAAGATGAGTCAAGTCAGGTTGAGGTACGAGGTGTTTATTTGCTTTGAAAAATGGTTAGCTGTTGTAAACATATCGACGACAGCGATGCAACTTACGATCGAGCCCTCATCTTTCTTCTCTTGCGCTTGAGGCGGCGAACCCGCTTCTTCCTCCATTTGGCTCTCATCTTGATCGACGATGCTATTGCAAGACGTTAGCAACTGTGGTGCGCATGCGAAATGTCGTCACAAGACAAATAGCTTGCGGTGGCAAGAGCTCAAGCTCAATGCCTGCAAGCTACAAGCTATAGGCCAGGGTCGGGTCGCGTAAACTTACTCTTTCGTGGATGAGAATCGTGTTGGGATAAGGAACAACTTCTGAAGCTTCACGGGCAGATTTCCGACTAAAGAAGGCCATTCATAGGGTACAGCCCTAAGCTCGGCGTAAGTGGATCAGCCTCACTCCCAGTGTTAAAGCAGCAAACACACCACAGTATTAGGTGCCCTCATGGGTGGTCGCTCGGGGGGAAAAATAAACGAATCCCCTCACAGGGCCTGATCCAACCCCCCGCCAAAACTTGGGTGGGCGACGAGAGGGGTGCCAATTGAGTGGGGCACTGTCTTGCGCATACAGTGCTGGGCCGTGATGATTGAAGCAGAAAGGAAGGAAGGAGGGAAGGAACGGCTGATTGTCCAAGTGTGACAATGGAAATTGGCACCGACGAGAAAATTAACCACCTTAATTGAATGATTTCTACTTAACCACTATCGCCATCTAAACTCACGAATCTGTGATCTTGCTACACCAATCTTACTCAGTCTACTAATACAGCAAAGCACTTACACGTACGAGCAGATGAACCAGATTCAAAACCTATGACCCTCAAGATGGATGAGGATACAACTCGCGCGTCGCAGGAAAACCCAGCCGCATATCTCCATCTGGTAGACACTAGAAGCGACCACCAATCTCAGCGTACGCTCTTCCTACCCTCAAGATCCCATATGGTCTCCACCTCTTCTGGTTCCTTCTAACCCGCTTCTCAGAAGTGTTTCCAGTGTGGGAGCGAGAAATCTTCAGGATTGGGCGAGACCCTCGTTCAAAGTGAGTAGATCTCTACATGAAAAGCATGTCACACAAGCTCACACATGCAGCACGTTGGCTGTTGATAATGACCTCGACGTTGCAGTTTCTCGAAACCACTGCGAAGTCTATGTTGTGGTGTATGAGCCAACAATCAACCATGTCTATGTGCGGGACCGAAAGTCTTCAAATGGTACCTTTGTCAATGGCCAACTCATTGGTTCTGGTCCGGATATAAGCCCTGGCTACCTACTACAGAACGGCGATGTGATCGAAATTCGACCCTACTAGAAGTTGACAGTCGTCCAAGATCAGCCACCCCCTCGCCATGAGTTAACATCCTTACAACTAGAAGAATGCAAGGTATGCTGAATGATCTCCATTACCAATTGGAGCCTGAAGCTGACTGCCCTAGCTGTTTGCAAGCAAGTATCGCGTCAGTGACCATTGTCTTGGCCAAGGAGCGGAAGCAGTCGTCTGCCTCGCAAACGACGTCCAGACGAAGAAGCAGTTGGTTTGCAAGTTGATTAATCTCGACAAGATTCAAGGAAAGAATTCTCAGGAGGACATCCGCCGCAAGTTTCAGGAAGCCGACATCTTGCGCCAGCTGCGACATGTAAGTCGACTCGCCCTTTCGATCGCGAGTCTTGCTAACTTGAAATAGCCTAACATTCTCCCTTACGTGGATGCTATCTCGTCACCACACTCACTGTAAGTGAATCTATTTGTTTATGAAAACAGGAACTGACGGTTCTAGCTACACCTTTACAGACCTTGCATCGGGTGGTGATCTCATGTCATTCATCCTACGCCATGGCACTGTCAAGGAACTAGACTCACGGATCATCATACGCCAAGTTGTCCGTGGTCTTGGCTATCTCCATGAGAAAGACATCGTCCACCGTGATCTCAAACCAGAGAATATCCTCTTGGCGTACTCGCCCAAGATTGCGTACCATCGAGTCATGCTTTCAGACTTTGGCAATTCTGCCGTGCCTCGACGCAGCAGAATGATCACAAACGCTGGGACACCAGGATACCAAGCACCGTATGCCACCTAGATTGGATTCAAGCCACTTGCTAATGAAAATCATAGGGAGTTCGCAGCGGGTGGGCAAGCTCATACTGCAGCTGTCGACATCTGGTCCTTAGGTGTTGTTGCACTGCTCCTCCTCGCATCTGATAACCACGACACAGAGCTCAACAAGATGGACCAAGGAGATATCATCGAATATCTCACGAAACTGTTCAATAGCTTACAGACACAACCCTCTTCTGAAGGGATTGACTTCGTCTGGAACTGTCTGAAAGTTGACCCATTGCAGAGAATCAATGCATATGGTGCGAAAACGCATACATGGCTTTGTTCCCCGAAGAAGAATCGGGAACTGTTCAAACGAATGGACTCTAGAATACTGTCTTCTTGGAAACCTCAAAACAAGCTCAAACCGATGCCTTGGGTGTTGCCTGATCTTGCACCGAGCAACCCACCAACACCCACAAGAAGCCCAGGCTCATCAATCAGCCAATATTTCACTACGACACCCACGCGGCTTGAAAATACGGCCATACAGTCTAAAGACCGCGTTCTAGAGGTAGTTGCAGAATCTGACCCAGGAACTGCCACTGGTAAGACTACCTCATCTTTCTCGGTGCAACCGCGACCATCCAGTACTCTAAGAGAGTTTGCGACAAATCCCAAGAAGTCCCAACCTCCTTGGCAAGGGTTTCGTAAGCCTAACGATTTAGCGAATACTGAATTCCCATCAAAACGCAGAAGAGTTCCAAGAACCAGGACTCATGATACTGCGAATCTTCCCCTCCCCGGGCTAGAGAGGCATTTAAGATCGCCCACCAATCCTCGCTATAGGCAAAACGTTCTTTCGGCTCTCGAGAGGACGAAATCGAAATTCCTCACAGATGGCATCTCTCCTGTTCCGAGAACTCCTCTCGATGCTCTTACTACCAATGCCTTGGTACCGCCATCAAGCCCTAAGAAACGGAAGAGCAAGTATGATGTGAGGCTAAAGGAATCGGTTGGGGCCAATATGCGACACCCACCTCAGCTCACATTCCGCTGAAGATGGTTAGGAAATGGGGAAAAATCAAGGGATATATTTAGGTCTGTGGAGTTCCTTTGGTGCTTCACTTCTTTCTTTTTACCCGAATTTCATGGGAAAGGAAACACCGCAAAGCACGTATGTAATCACTCAAGTGCCATCAACTACATAACTGTGGCAGACGAGGTTCATATGTTTGGGTGGATGGGATTGCGGATTCTGACTGGGAACTTGCCTAGGCCCACAGATGGCTTTGGCTCTTTTGATTGATGATGATGGGGAAAACTGACATGGGATAAATGGGGATATTTACAAGGAATAAATGCATGCAGGTTACCCCTTTTCGCCTACCATCTACTTATCTTCCTTTTGGCGGATCCTTTCAAGAAGTCTTGCCATTTCTTAGGCATCTCATCTTCGCCACTCTTATTGCTTGAGTTATCGCCGACCCCAGGCCATACTGGCAGGGCCTGGATGCCTTCAACTTTGCCCTTATTCACCAGCCTCTCCAACCACTCTATTTCCACCTGTTCAATGTCACCGGTTTTTTGACCCCTAGCAAACCACCAACACAATGCAACAGGATAAGTCAAGTCCTTGACTAAACAGGGGTCTCCATGACGTCTGCATCGCTCGCAGGCGGGTGAATAGTTCATGCTTCGTGAGCACCGTCTCCCTTTGACTTTGCACTGAAGACAATCGAACATCTCCACATTCGCTACGGGAATGTGAGGACCTAAGTGGCAAAAGGCGTTGACGAGGTTCACTGGGAATCCTTCCACGTACTTAGGAGGCTCTCCCTGCTCGTGCGCGAGCGCGAACTTGAAGAGTTGAAGCCTCTGGATGCGGTCCTGAAGAGTTCCCACCCGCTTTCTGTGATCCTCTTGTGCTTCTCCTATTGCACGCCTGAGACCAGGGCCTTTTTCTTCTTTATCAATCATGTCATCGATGAAAGCTTCGATATCTTCCTTGGAAGGAATTTCGTCATCATCTTCGTCTTCGTCCCATTCTTCTTCCGATATCTCTTCCTCCTCCTCCAATTCTTCTTCAAGCTTCTCCTTCTTCCGTGCTTCTCGGGCAGCAACGTATCCGGCCTCAATCTCTGCGTCTCTACGAGCAAGCGCTTCTTGACGGAGCCTCTCTGATCGCTGATGAAAAACGGACGAGACGGTCGATAGCAAGTCAGGTGGAGCAGCTGGTGGTGCATTAGGGTCGAGCTCCCGAATGATATCGGATAGAACCGAATAGGGAGAATAGCAGTTATCAGTCATGGCTGTCTCAATATGTCAAGTAAATCTGAAGTTAAAGAAAATGGTTCGTGCTGTTCTGACTGCGCTCATGCTGTATATATACCAACCCTGACGGCCAACAACTGTGCAGCGGTAAAACGAAGAACGAGAAGCGCTGTACTGCAGCTTCTTGTCCCTGAACGAACAGAGGCTTTGTGAGAACACTACGTGGCATTGAATGAACAAAGCCATTGGACCGAACAACTCAGGTCCCTACAAAGAAACGAGTCGGATTACTACTGCCAGTTCCCGCAGATAAGCCTCACTAAAGATGGACAAAGAAATGCAAATCCAGGGTTCAGTATGGAAGACCTGGGTATTGTTACTGATTCTCATTTTTACCGTTTTCCCTGGGTTCGATATCTCCTCACTCCCGAATAACATGGTATGTCTGAAAGCTTCCCACTCGCAACCTATAATGACTGGCCCTCATGGCGGCCCCAATACACATAAGCACAAATGCCTCCTCTTATCATCGACCTGAAAAACTGCTATAGCTCCAGGTCCCTGGGCGTAGCGAGCCCCAAATCCAAGATGCAGAGGTGGTCCTCTGGAAATAGCAATAAAAGAATACTGTAGAAGAAAGTGATAGCTAATAGCAATCCAAAAACGCCGACTTATGAGATGCTTCTCCCGGCGATGCACAAATAACAAAAACCCTGGACGCCGGCTCCATATAGATCCTGTACTCAATGACTGTCTGCTGGCGTGCTTCTGTGAGCCGCATGCCGAGCTCCGTAGCGCCTTGAATCCAAATATGATAGAGATAAGACATGAGATCATTCAAGATCTCCGAATGGTATGATATGTATCATTGTATCAGTCATAACGCTTTGCTACGAGTGTCATCATCCCCGGCTCAGGAGGATGCGTGTGAAGGAACACTGCGTGGTGTAATATCGCCGCTTCGACGACGTGCTGTCTGCTGATAAGATTGCAACGTCTTGCTGTTGGCTTCAGCAATCATTTGTTGTTTCTTGCGCACAGCTGCGAGTCGTCCTGTGATCATCTTGATCACTAATATCTTGTTAGCACTCGCCCAGAATGACACACTCCTATATGACTTACTCTTTCGAACATGGGCCTCCTCATCGCTATCAAGCTCACCACCGCTAGCTTCCTTGACAGCATCTCGCTCATCTTCTTTACCCGTCGACAATCTTCTCGCATCCGAACCTGAATCGTCATCGTTGTCTAACACAGCCTCAAGCATTCGGATGGCCGTGATGTACGAAATCTCGCAACCAGAGAGGTTCTCGTTTGTGACTTCGTCAATTGCAGCAGCGCGGCTCATCTCGAGTGCCCGATCATACATGAGCTTCTCAGCACTTATGCCAGGGGTCAAGTAAACCTGCTTGGTCGCGCCCCCTGCAGATGAAGCAATCGACTCGGTTCCGTGGTTAGATGGGTGACTGGGATGGTCTTCGGGCAGTTGCTTCTGCGCCTCCGTGAGCTTCATACGGACGATTTCAGACTTCTCTAACACCTCGTTGAATCGCTGCCGAACCCACTGAACCACTGCGTTGATACGCTGAACAATGCTCTGGGCAGCTGCTGCCGACAGGCCAGTACCTGTCTCTCCCCGGCTCTTCTTGGACCACCAGACACTGGCTATGTCCATAGCTCTAGCGAGAAGAGTGAGCGACTTCACATATAAAACAAGAGCCTCCTCTGAGAGAGCAACGATTGCCTCAACTGTCAATCCGTCTTCCTCATTGTCCAATTGGTCAGGTTCAAAACCACCCAAAATATGATCAGCGGACGGTGCTAGAGGAACAAGCTGCTTATACTTGACTTCGGCGAAACCGTAGACACAGTCACTTCGTGTTGCAAACTCTTCTATGGCTTGCGCAGCTCGGCCATCTTCGTCGGTTCCGTGAGCGTTCTTGCCGTCGCCTAAAAGCCCAACTGGGGCCTGAGGGGTGGGATATGTCGGGAAAGCTTGATATAGAGGTGGCGATGGGCCTTTTGGTGTACCCCGTAGAGGGGGAACTTTGAAGCCAAAAAGGCGCAGACTGGCGTCTTGGATCGCTTTGGAGATAGCACTAGAGGCTGATCCGGGACTAGCAGAGAGAGCTTTCTCGTACGATGATCTCCGGTCATGGCGCCCCTGGGTCACCAAAGCGTTGCGAGAAGACGGAGTGGCAATTGCTCCCGACGTGGACGTGGGCGCACCTTGTTGAGTATATCGTCGAGTCATAGGTCCTGCTTTTTGAGAGGATGGGTCACCAAGTCGCTCGTTGGCTGCCAGTTCATCGGCAAGAGCATTGACCTCAACGTGCCGTCTCTCAACAACTACGTATTCTCGCTCCAAGGCAACATCTTGAGCCGCCTTCTCCTCTTCTGTAATTGGTGGATTGCTCAAGGCTCTGTCCCTGCGTGCCTGGTTCAGAAGAGATGTAGGAGGTGAGACCTTATCGCGACCATTTCCTCTATCCTGGATAAGTTGCTGAACGGGAGCAGTCGCCGCGTGGTGTGCTACTGGGCGGCGAATACCAAGACCCTCCCCGACCTCGCGAGGAGAATTTCCTGTTGGTCGTTGACTGTCATGCGATTGCCGAGAATACCGACCTTCTCCCGGGCTTGCTGCTTGCGGCGACCTTGAGTGCTGATCTCTGGGAGATCTTGAAGCAATGCCGTCTCGTGGCGATTCGTAACCGGCTTGTCGGGGACTTCGCGATGATAACGAAGGCGAGCCCCCATGGAAGGCTGATCTCAGCTCTCGAGGTTCTTGCCTGACTGGCTTTGGAATATCATCCTCTACCAAACCAGGAATCTCGCCCGTAACGACCTGGTGTGTGAAAAAGTTCTCAAAGCTCAGTCGCTCAACAGGACTTCTCTTCAGGAGACTTCGAATCAGAGCTTTCAGGTCGGAACTAATAGTTACCTCCCTAGGAAACTTGATAACATCCTCAGCCGCTTCTATCTTTCTCAACAATTCGACATGGTTTCTGGCCCGGAACGGAGGGCGACCTGTGCTCATTTCATAGAGCACAGTTCCCACTGACCAAAGATCGGCTTTCGCATCATAGCGCTCGTATCGGAGAATTTCTGGGGCCATGTACAGGGGGGACCCACAAAGGGTATCGGCCAGGGAAGTGGAGGGAAGCACACGTGCAAAGCCGAAGTCGGCAAGCTTGAGCATAGGTAAAGATGCTAACCCGGCGATAGGGATCAGCGAGTCTTGACTGGCTTGCATGACGGGGCGACTCCTTTGGTCCCTGAAGGGTCGCGAGGGTAGTAGTAGCAGATTTTGGGGCTTGACATCTCGGTGAACGTAGTTCTTGCTGCGTAGGAACTCGAGGGCACTAGTCAGCTGTTTCAAGAAATGTCGAATGACAACCTCGTGCAAACCGGAGTTCGGCGCACTTGGATACTTGCGGGCCATATCATGCGTGGCAGGATGTGTGGCGAGCTTCTCTCGCTTCTTGATGAACAGGGATAGATCGCCAAGCTCGCAGTATTCCATAATCAAATTGATGTGGCTTGTCGACTCGAGACAGTCATGGAGAGCGACGATGTGTGGGTGGCGTAATGTCTTGAGTATTTGGATTTCGCTGTAGAGGTTCTCTCGTAGCTTCTTGTTTAGACGTTCGAGCTCGACGGATTTGATGGCAACGGCAGCCTTAGTGTCCTTTATCAAGATTGTTAGTGGTTGTCTAGGATGCAGTATGGTATGAATTGCTTGTGACTTGTGGTACCAAGAGCAGGAGTCTGATAAGCCACCCAAGTGATGCAGCAGCAACAAACAAGCAACGCAAGTTGGTACGATGACAGAGAAGCAAGTCAAAGTAAGGATAGGAGCCTTGTCGTACCTTATGCCAACCCAAATACACTTGAGCAAAACTGCCCTTTCCAATCTCGGAGCCGATGTTGAACTGTCCTACTACAGCACGACTGCCCGACTTCCTCGACCCCGAGGAGGTCGAGGACTCCTGCCGGGCCGCCATGGCTTCCTGGTTGTTATTATCGATGGCAGGAAGATAGCCGGACTGCTTTGTAGCCCTAAGGCCTATAAAACTCAGAAGAGGTGTGTCGCAGAACAGGTCGTCATGTAATCGATGGATGGAAGTTGTCGCAAGCGCCGATGGGCGTGGTAGAAGAGGCGAGAAGGGGACAGAGGAGGATGGGGATGATTATCAACCAGGCGGAAGGCGATAGACTCAAGGTCAGAGGCGAGAATCTGCGCCGATGGTTGGTGAAGTAGCAAGTGGTCGGTGAGGACGGAGGACCCCTATGGACGGACAGCCGAAGACGGATGGGATAAGACGAGACGAGACAATACTACCTGATCTTAGCTCAGAGGCAAGGTCGGGAGGTAGGTAGAAGGTAGGTATCCGAAAGGGTGCGTAGAGTATAGACGGTACTTGACTCGGTGCGCGCCTGCACTGCAATATCGAGCCAAACACAAGAGTTAGTGAATGTGGATAGGTAGAACAACTGATAAGATTCGAGGCCAAGGACTCTTTCGCAATGAAGAGAAAAGAAGAAGAGAGGACAAGAGGAACAGAAAGGACGGGAGAAAGACGAACAAGAAGCTACGGGGGATGCGTGTGACAGCGAGTGATGGTGACGGCACGAGCAATGGCGATCACGGCCGGGGATTGGATTGTACGGGTATGATCCAGCGATTCTACACTTGCCTTGCCTTAGAGGCTACAGCCTACAAGCACAGCCAGAGTCATTGCCAGATGGGGCTTGCTGGGGTGCTTTATGCCGGTGCGACAGGGCAGGATAAGGATAGTGGAGGACAGAGAATGCGAAGGGATAGGAATAGGTAGGGTAATGTACTGTACCTAGGACTAACTGGACGCTATTCTTACACTGACTGGATGGATAAGCCTGGCAAGCCCGGGGGGTATGTTAAGGCCAGGTGACTAACACGGTGCTGAAGCGAAGCTTTGGGCCTTTGGTAACGATCCAATCTGACGCGTTATACGAGCGCCAACCGTTAACCTGAGTCGAGGACCGTCCGTACTCGCTTTGAGCGAGGATGAGCGTGATCGGAGATAATCGACCCCCAAAGCCGTGGACGCGGATAGGGCGGTTAAAGAGGCGGACGACAGCGGTGACTCGATGGGAGGAAGGGATGGTTTGATGTTATCGTGCACCTCCAATGCATTGGCAATGCCTAGAGTCTAGAATTATGCATGTTGATGATTCGTACGTGTTGCTGAATGGGGTGTAGTGTCTTCCGTGCTGTAGGTACAGACGGGAATACAGAGACAGTCGAAGGCTCCAAGTCAAGAGAGGACAGGCCAGGACAAGCTAATCGGGGTTGCGTCACACACACAGCCTAGACGCAACTCTGATACCGACTATTGTACATGACGGAGCAGGCGGTGGTCGAACAGATGCTGTGCGAGCAAAGTTTGTAGAATAACAACAAAGCACAGAGCACAGAAGGCTAATCGAAGTTTAACAAAATGATATGTCATATAAAAAAAGAGCAAAAAGAAAAAAAGTATAGTAGAGATAACAAAGTGGAAAAACCAGGCAGAAAGTGAATGTGATGAGAGGTGAAGTAAATGACTGGTACGAATCAAGCCCAGTTAAAGTCGGGTTTCTAGAAGGGGGGAAATGGGGAATGGCTGCGTGCAGTGACTGTCCAGGACGGTACCCTGTAACTAGCCCGCCTGTAGGGGGCGGGTTACCTCAGGCAGGGTGCTTAGCTTCAAGCTCCAAAGCTTCCATCCATTCAAAGTAAGGTAACCCTTGAGTACCTCTTTAGCGTGTGAACTGCCGCAGGCGTCAGAGGGTCCTGGAGAATCTCCAATCGACAGGGATATTGGGTGTCAGGGGGTACATGCGATCTGTGTGGGAATCAGCCTCAAATCGCAAGTACCTCTGAACTTGGCTCAGAATGACAGCCTCACAAGTGGGTGTGAACAACTGAGACACTCACATTCACGCAAGGGGGGATCATTGGAGATCATACATACAATCACTGAGTAGTGACTCTGACTGTCTGACTGTAGATAATAACATATATAGACATAATAAGAGACAATGATCAAAAAGGGTCGGGTTTGCAGGGGATGACCTAGAGGCTAATCGATCACTTTTGGTTGACCCCGTGATACACCCAAGTCCAAAACAAGACCAGGGGATCAAAGACAAGAGCGGGATGAGAAGAGTCAAAACCTGGAAGAGCCCAAGCGACGAATGAAGGATGATTCAGTGAGTCAGTGAGTCAGTCACTAACTTTACGTTAGAAAGGGAAAACAACCGACAACCGCCGCAGCCTGTTTTCCCCATCCCCAACAAGCACCCAAGTCAGAAGAAAAAACAAAGGAATCATGCGGTACGTGATAACGATAACTGAAAGTGCAATACACACTGAGCTAAGCTATTCTGAGTCAAGCTCGACCACCTTCAACTCCTGTCAACGTTGTGAGTGCCTCGTGAGGAGGTGTTGTTGTTGCCTGAGCCCGATGATGTGATGCATCGGATCTGTGAACAATAAGACAAAAGCCCCCTTTTTCATAAACTCAATTTAGTCAAAACATCCCGTCATCGTAGGTTCTAAAAACTGTTGTTAGCTAGCCTTGAGTTGATTTGAGGGGGATAATAATGATCGATTGGTTCTTGCAAGGTACGAACAGATACAGGTACAGGTACTGTACAAGAGGACGGATACAAGGTTATGGATGCCGAGGTCGCCCGGCCCCACTGAGCATCTCTCACGCATCCACTTTCTCCGGAAGCTTTACCAGGAATTGAGCTCCATATGTTCTGAAACTTGGACCTGGGAAGTGGAGGATGAAACATCAATATCAAGTATTGAACAACCTTGAATTGGTTTGTTTTACGCCAGCCAAGTTTGCCAGACTTCAAAGCATTGAACAGCGCTCGCTCGCAGCTATGCATGTACGTACTATCAAAGTACTCAAGCTCTAACCTGTTATCAGCTCCCACCAAGACTGGTCAGGTTTCTCCATCTACGCCATGGCCCGCTATAGCGCTCCCTGCCACGAGGTGCTTGGATGATCGTCGCTGATATTCTGGAGAAGAAGATAGGACAAGGTCCGGTCCGGCAAAGAACCAACACTTTTGATCTCAACACAGATAAATCTTGACCTCCCTTGTTTGGGCAAGGTTGAATTAGAGCCAAGCTCATTCTCGTGTTTGTGCTCATAACATACATGGCTGAGCTCAGATGGCGAAATAATTGTTATTAATACTGTAATTCGATGCTGGTCACGCAAACTGCATGGCGTCAGCGAACGCTCGCTCGCTCGCAATAGCAGGCGTTTCGTTGCTCTATTATGCACCGCAGCATGGCATTCTCCGTATCGAAAACAAACTCACCATACTATAGTAGCCCACGAATAGGTATCAATTCACCCGGCCAAAGAGCGTTATCATTATCATGCCCTTGCTGCAGGCGCCGCATAAAGGTCCAGTACCCTGCAAGTTGTGTTCCTTTTTTGGAAACCAGGCAGACGAGGCCCATTCCCCCGACTTTTTGAGTTAGTCGTAGGACTCGGGTCTAAGAAAGGGTGGGCAACTTTTGAACTAATTGGATTATGGTGAGAGTGATGTTTCCGGATATTGATAATAGCATTGAAGTGGTGAGACATGGTAACATGGACAAGCCAGGAACAGAAGTGCCCGCTCACGGCGCTCATCACTCACTCGCTTCCATTATCACGTCAACTGAACACGAGTCGTGACGATTCCCAAGCAAAAGAGGTACAGTCAGGCCAATTCACGACAACTAACTAGACTAATAAACATAAAAAAACAAATACAAATACCGTCATCATTCACCCCCAGATCGTCATCTTCTCCGTCCTGGATCGGCAACTATTCCCCTGTTCCTTGACCGACTGGCTGCTTGAAAGCCGCTAGAACAAGGGAGTATGTTGCCTCGTCAACTTTAAAAAAAAAAAAAAAAAAAAAAAGAGAAAAAAGGAATCATGTGCTGAATTACCTATATTATTAACAAAGAAGTGAAAAATAGTGACGTTGACATGGACGAGTCTAGCCTCAACTGTTTAGTTAGTTGGGACAAGTTTTCTGTCTGATACGCTTCGACTATCTATCTCTTGGCGTTCCCGATGCATCTCAATCGAGTTAGTGAAAACCTGGAGAATGCGATCCATTCATTGCTTCTTATCTCTCATGTTGAACCCCGATATTTCTCTTATCATGGATGTGATGTGTTGGACATGTGCCTCTCTGCCTTCTCAGTTCGGCATACCGAGAAACACACACACCAAAGTCCCCAATGCGTTCTCATGAATCGATAGAATACGACCTCGAATTGGATTACTCTGCTCTTCACCCCCACGATCATCCTGCCCTTGTGTGCCTGGCTAAACAGCCGACCAACCACACTCCAAACACGTGGATCTACTCAACGATAACTGTTCTCATCCCTCAAACGTTAAAGCAGCCACTCAGGAATCGATACATGTGCCTCTCTCCATTGCGCATTGTTCATGTATGTGATTCTACTTCAGTTTTCTCAATCTGTAACTTGCTCACATGGAGTCGCATTCTGCGAGTTTCACGAGACAATGATGCTCCCGTAACACAACGTCGTTTCTATCAATCGGTTCAACATACGATCGCCTAGATAATGTGCAAGATTGTCTCTGCCTATCACGTATGGTCTCATCCCCACCACTTCCCACCGTAGTATCCTTCAGGTAACGAACAATACGGGCAATACCTCATGTGTCAGGCCTCAAACAGGCACCCAGCATAACCTTCCAGCCATCCCCACATCCAATACCGCATGACACGCGTTCAACAAATACAGTGCATGATTCGTAAAGGCTGCTGCGTTACAGTACACTTTGAGCCCCTCATGCGTCAACTGCAATTGGATGTTATGTTATCATTCCAAATGCCGCCGAAGGATCCGTCGAATCGGCGGCTTTATACCGGCCCTTTCACCGTGCTTCGGGGCTCCGTAACGCCGTGTTTCAAGATCCACCGGACGGAAAACACGGATCCGATGGCGGGGTTTCACTGTTACAGATGTTATCGTATGTTGAGCTTTCAGAAATGTTCCTTTTCTCCGGCAGTTTGAGTCATGGAAATATTCATATGTGAAGACATGATTAACTCGTCTCATGGTAAATTGACTGCCGCGAGTCAGAGACGTACCTTGGAGCAGCATACCAAGACAATCGTCGGTACAGTCAGCTGTTACCCACACGTCGTTCTCCATGTCGATTGCGACAGAGGATGACTCCAAGATGACTAAGATGTCTTGTCAGGTAGCTTATGTAACATTGTTCATGCATCTGCATGCACTTGTCTCATGATAGAATGGCGATCTCATGGCTGATCGATCTGCCGTGTTGAGCCACTTAAGGAACGCTTTGGGGAAAAGATCAGTGTTATTTTCCAGACCGATGACTGCCGGTCTGGTCTGATGGCAATATGGTACAATAACAGATCTTATAGCCATGTTGAAGGTATCATATCTTCCTCGCCTGAAACTACTCTAGGCTCAAGTCTCTCAATTATCAAGCATCTCAAGATAACGCCGTGTACAGGAAAGTGACAGATAGATCATTTCAGCATTTTATTTCAATCGGGGTATTCAACTTGTACAAGGCTTTCTAGCCGACATGGAATCCCAAACGCCTACCAGAGTGCTGTTCTCTGGCTATGCAGTTCGAACATACGTCAATCATCCCGCTATGGTTTCCGAGCATAATACCCGGTGCCTATTAAAATTCGCAAACGCCGTTTTCCCTTGTTTTCCCCCCCTTCATATCCATATCCATATCCTAAAGTTTGGGTCGCGTTTAGTGACCCTTGGCCGGCTCAACAGTGGGAAGCTCCTTGATAGCCTCAGAAATGATCTCGAGACCCTTTCGAAGCTCCTCCTCACTGATCACCAGAGGAGGGGCGAAGCGGATGATGTCGCCGTGAGTGGGCTTGGCAAGAAGACCCTTGCTCTTGAGGAGCAGGCACAGATCCCAGGCAGTTCGGCCGTTGGTGGCGGATTCGTCGATGACGACGGCGTTGAGCAGACCCTTTCCTCGAATCACCTTGAGGATAGGGGTGTTGAGAGCCTTGAGACCATCGCGGAACATGTTACCGAGCTTCTCAGCCTTGGCCGTAAGATCTTCTTCTTCCATAATCTCAAGAGCGCGGATTGAGACGGCACAGCCCAGAGGGTTACCACCGTAGGTAGAACCGTGAGTGCCAGGCTCGACGACCAGCATGACCTCCTTGCTGCCAAGAACGCAGCTCACAGGGTACATACCACCAGAGATGGCCTTTCCAAGGGTAACAAGGTCGGGCTTGATGTTTGCCCACTGGGAGCAGAGCATGCGTCCAGTTCGGCCAATACCGGTTTGGATCTCATCGCAAATGAACAAAACGTTGTGCTTGGTGCAGAGAGCCTGGACCTTGGCGAGGTAATCCTCATCGGGGACAACAACACCAGCCTCACCCTGGATGGGCTCGCAGATGAAAGCAGCAGTCTCCTTGCCGTGAGCCTCAAGAACCTCCTCGAGATCGGCGATGTTGTTGTATCGAATGGCCTTGCCAGTGGTGGGGTTGAAGGCACCGACATTGGGGACATAAGGGCCGTAGTTTTCTCTTGACTCGGGGTCGACTGACAGAGTAATGGCGGTCATCTGGAGCATGTTAGCAACGTTACTTCTACTGTTGGAAATAGTTAAACTTACGGTTCGGCCGTGGAAGTTCTCGGAAACACCAAAGATCCAGGCCTTCTCCTGAGGAACACCCTTGACCTTGTACGCCCACTTGCGGGCAATCTTGATAGCAGTCTCAACGGCTTCAGCGCCAGTGCACATGGGTAGAACCATGTCGTAGCCGAAAACGCTGCGGACCTTCTCAGCCCACTTGGGGAAAACATCGTTGTAGAAGGCTCTAGAGCTGAGGGTCAATCGACCAGCCTGCTCGGCGAGAGTCTTGACGAGTTCGGGGTGGCAGTGGCCCTGGTTGACAGCGCTGTAGGCGGAGAGGAAGTCGTAGTAGTGGCGGCCCTCAGGATCCCAGACGTTGATACCCTCAGCGCGAGAGAAGACTACTGGGAGAGGATGGTAGTTGTGAGCGGCGTACTCCTCCTCAATGGCGATGGCCTTCTCGGTAGAGGTGGCGTGGAACCGAGAGACGGCCTTCTCAGCGTGGGGAGACATTGTTATGTGATGTGACGTCAATTTAGTGTTGGAGTTGGTAAATGAAAGCAACAAGAGTAGAAAGTGAAGATATAGTGAATCAAGTTACTTCTTGTTGTTAAATGGAACGAAGAGAAGAGAAGAAGAATTGGAAGTTTGAGGAGAACATGGCTGCTCTTTAAGGACCGATAGCGGTTTGATGGCTGTCGGCAAGCGGAGGCTTATTGCGGATAGGAAAGAGACAAGATATGATTTTTTAGGTAATTATTACAGCAAAACCAAGTCTGCCTCTAGAGTTGTTTGTCGACACTATACCCCTAAGTGCAAGTGGGAGCGACCAAGCGTGGGAGTGTGCGGGCGTGAGGTTGCGAAGTTGAGGGTATGACGAAGCTGATTGGATGAGAGACCCGGCGGAATTGGGCGGATGACCTGCCGCCACCGGCCGAGAGCCCGTGTTCAGTTGATACAGTGAACGGCTTGTCTTGTCATGACATGATGGAGAGGGGCATCGCTTACGGTCATGTTCAAAACATGGATGAATCTGTGTGTCTTGCTTCTCCAAATCTGAGATCACTTCTTTTCGTGGTATTCCGAAGACGTCGAATTACTTTATTTGGTCTACGCCGCAATTTTAAATTGCCCGGCATCGTTTCATTGGACATGATGTGCATCCATCATGAGTAGAAGAGGCTCTGCTCTGTGAACTTAGTGACAACATAATCTGGGGAGAGGTGAGGGGAATGAGGGGCTCTGGAACCACCTGACATGGGTTCAATGCAGGTCTAGACTTGACAAACGACCCGATTTCTGGGATAACCAATGAAGAATTCTCTATTACTGTGATCATACCAGAAGATAATCTGTGTCGTGTCTATACCTTTCGTATTTTGAATGGAGAGCATTTTGTCTGAAAGCAGAGTTTGTCTCAGTTCTTCTACCATCTGCAGCCATCAAAATGCCACATGCAACCAAGTCCAAACTATTTGCTTGCTATTGAGTAACAACTTCTCATCCTCATATGACCCCCAACCTGTCAATTGATATCGATGGAGTAATTAGATAGAGAACCAACCAATGCCAGTTCCCAGTTTGTTCCCAGTTTGGGTGTATTCGGCCAAATCTTGGGTCTTATCCTTTACCGCCAGATGCCGCCGGTTCCGCTAGCTCCGCCATTTATCAGCGGAACGGTCTTAAATCCGCCTGAACCGCCAGGATTTCATGTGTAATATTTCGTTTCATGATATAAGAAAAAAAAATATGTCATAAGATGAGAGAGATCGAAAGGGAATTTGTTTACAGCAGCAGAATTATGTTTTTCTTCGGTGCTTGTTGTACCGAAGCAGTATTGGGGTTAGCCACCGTAGAGATGCTCAGTCCGTCTCTGAATTACATCAGCTTCAGACTTACAGACGGTCGAATATTCATGCTTATCCTACGTAATAGTTAATAAAATGTTATATAGACATTTTCCTTTCGTTTCTTGTCATGTTTCCTGCTTCATGCTGAACCGCTATTCGCTGTGGCATTCAAATTGTGGCTTGTCGCACAACGTCACTTCAAGGCCACATGACAGAGCGTAACTAACCAATCAACAGCCAATCAGCGTCTGAGCCACACTCTTCACAATAAACAGCTGTCTCGTTAGGATAGTCCACTATCGACGCACTATACCTGGCCATCACTCAGTGGACATTATGTCGTCCGCAACAGTTTCAAGAAAAGTATTAGATGGCGCTCGGAATCAGAGGAATCGATCTGTTTTCCTGCGTGATATCATTG